CATATATTGGCCCCAGTGTGGACAGAACTCTTGAGCACGGCTGACAGAAACTCGAATTATTGAAAATGGTAAAACCTGGCTATCTCACTTCTGGGCCTGCCTGTGCTTAGGGGCCACCAACCATGTCCTTTCATCCCATCTGTTCACTTCTGCTGAGGTTGGAGGACCTGACCTCTTACTTAGGGTAGTGACACAGAATGATGGAGCTCCTCCCTACTGCCGAGGGGTCCTTGGGAGATACTTAGTATGAGCAGTCTTACCATAGGGAGAGCCTGGTCTTTCTCTAATAAGAGGCCACTCTGCCCCAGGACTTCCTTCATAGGCCACTTCCCATCTCCGTGATATCCTTGGATGCCAGTCCTCAGTGTGCACAGGGACAGAAATGCAGACTTGTTGGAAGATGCAGCCCTACTGCTTTAGTCTTGCCTTTCTGCTGACAAGCTGGCCACTGGCCAGGATGTATGGGGAATCAGGCATTAGAGATGTGAGCGGGGAGGGGAGCACATGCCTCGTTCTCTGTTGCTATGGCCATCAGACACCCCGAATTCACTCCATACCACAGCTCCTGCTGTCCTCTTTGCCTTTTAACAGAGGTCAGATCTGTACCCCAACATCACATAGCTCTTAATCAATATTCCAAGTTTGTGCATCAGGCAGTTCCAAGGTTTCTAATATGACAGTTCTAACAAAGGATTTCTGGGGGCTGCTGGGAATGACCCTGCACCACCACAGCAAGCAAGCTGGAGGGCTCTATCATAACAGACACTGAGCTTTCTCATGAAATTCATGTCACATTAACCTGCTGGAGGTCTTGGAAGTAGCCAAGACCTGTCAGCAAAAGAAAACAGTAGCTGTAGTGTACTTGAAGTTTTCAGAGGTCTTTGGCAAGCTTCTACGACCACGAACTTTTCCTTTCTTTGAAAAGATGGAATTGCTTCACTGTGGCTTGGCAGGGCTTGGACACTTTGTTACACACAAGAGTCCACAGGAAGAGGAAGCAGTTCTTGGCCATGGACATGTACTTTTCTTGATGGAGAATTGTGAACAGCAGAGTCTTGTGGGGATGGGGCCCATGTCCAGCATAGCTCTTGAAATTCTGGAGGGAGGATGGTGGAGGATGAAGAAATGAAGACAAGAGTCAGAAGCTGAGGTCAGGTGGAGCCCCTCTCCTGATGGGAGAACGGACAGCCCAACAACTGCAGCGTGTTTACTTATACAATCAGCATAAGAGGCTGTTTACAAAGAATTGTAAGGGGAGGGAAAGAGCTGGAACAGAAAGAACATCTAATCTTCAACAAATCATGTCTTGGTGGTTACACAGGGAACAAGAGGGAAGTTGTCCATATTTTCTCAGGGGAAGGCCAAGTCACTTCATGTCAGCTCCCTGAGCTGTGTGCACTTCTCATGGGGCCCTGCCAAACTCATGAGAAGCAGTGACCTTGTCCTAGATACATGAGGTACAGACAGCTTTGCTTCCAACAGATGGCTCACGTCCTTTTAATGAAAGGTCTGGAAAAGGAAATGTGTAGTGAAAATTCCAAATCTATGAAGACTTCTGGGGAATGGGAAGCCCAGTTAATGGCAAGTTCTTCACTTGCGATCCCAGTCATTGCTAACAATCAACACTTGGTAGCTGGTTTGCCAGAGTAACACACAGAGGTTTCATCTGTTGACCATATGGCCACTGTGTGTCCATTGTGTAGCTGGACACAGTCACATGTGTGTTGTTATTCTGCTTTTAGACATGGGGTTATAATTCTGGCATAGGTTTGCTTTACTTACTGGTGCATTATGGAAATCACTGTGCAAAGAACTACTTCATTCTTTTTAATGAGACATTTCTACACACAGTGTCTGGGTAATAATCAGGGCCCTCTAGTTGGGTATTTCTGCTATTTTTGGATTACAAATAATATAATAGTATAATCTTAAGCATCCTCATATTCAAATATCTGCACTTAGGGCAAGTGTTTCTAAGGATGGTCACCTGGAAGGAAAATTGCTGTGTCAAAGGACAGATGCATTAAGCTTTTGATCAATGGGCTTCCTGTAATGAGAGGATTAACTGCCTACAAAAAACAAAATATCTAGTCCAGTTTAAATTACCCCCAAAGCACCTGGCAATGCCCATTTCCTCAGACTGGATATTAGTTTCCTATTGGTGCTGTAACAAACTGCCACAACCTTGGTGGTTTAAGATCTGTCATCCTATGTTTCTAGAAGTCAGAAGTCTAACTCAGGTCACACTGGGCTAAAATCACAGTGTGGAGAGGGCTGCATTCTTTTTGTTTGTTTGTTTGTTTTTTGTTGTTTTTTTCTAGTACCGAGAATCGACCTCGTGCTTGCCAGGCAGGTGCTGTGCTGCTGAGCTAAATCCCCAGCCCCCAAGAGGGCTGCATTCCATTTGGGAGGCTTAGGGGAGTATCTGTTCCTTGGACCTCTTTCTCTTTTATCTGTAAACCCAGTGATAACCAGTGGAGCCTTTGTGGCATCTCACACAAAGTCATTCCAACTCTGACTCTTCTCCTATCTCCCTTCCCTTTTTAAAGCCCTGGTGATTACACGAGGCATGCTGGGTAATCCAGGATAATCTCCCAGTCTTCAGGTCAGCTGAGTATCAGTCTAATTCCATCTTTTCCCTTTGAGGTAACAGTACAGGCTCCTGGGTGCATGTGGACATTTTAGGGAGGGGGTATGATTCTGCAGAACTATGATGATCAGCCTTCTACATTTTTTTCCATTCTGACATTCTGCTCTTTTAAGCTGCATTTTCTTGACTACTGGTGAAGTTGAACATCTTCTTCTATGTCTTGAAGAGGCAAAACGTCCTTGTAATTTACTTGTACCCTCTGTCTCCTTTTCTACCAGGTTGCCCTTTTGCCTTTTCTATTCCCAAGTGCATTATGAATTCCTTAAGATCAGGGACCTCCTCATAGTAAATTTTGTGTCCCACCCAGAGCCTCAAAATGCACTGGGATTCAGAGAAAGGATTTAGCCTGTTGGTCTTTCCTCCCTCCCAGCGTCATCTCTCCCACTCTGCTCTCTTTGGAAGGAATGTCAGAAAGCTTCCAGGCAAGCTGCCGGGTTGAGCCTGTATATGGGAAGGTGTGATGGGCTGAGACAGAGTGTCTTGTGACTCCCCTTCGGAGCTCTATATTCACTGGTTTCTTATCCAGATTCCACCAGCCTCACATTGAAAAAGTTTTTAAAAACTGCTTCATGCTGAGGTGTATGCATGTAGGAGGCGTTGTAAGTAATCTACAGATGATTTCAACTGTGCGGGAGGATGTTCCTAGGGGCTTCTCTTGCTATCGTGGGATCCCAGTCTAGCGGACCAAGTGTCCAGACCCTGGCTGTGCCTTTTAACCCTCAGAACCTGTTTTCTCACCTGTAAAAACAGTAGCAGTGATTCCTCACATGTTAAAGTGGCCGAGAAAGTAATAGGAGTAATCAGCCGCTCCATCTCCGGCACCTTGTGCTGTTGATCTCAAGGTAGAGCTGCAGAGAGGACCCTGGCGGCAGCAGCTGGGCTAAAATGAATGAGACTCTGGGGGAGGCACAGGGAAGAGTAATTTTAGGTCATTTTTAGGGTGTCAGGCAATGTGGCCTCTTTTGGCGTTTGTTTGACAGATCACGGTGAGAGTTAAATTGCTGCTCTGTTAATATAGGGGTCCGTAAGGAGCCCCGGTGAGCCCACAGCCTGGTGTGTGGCGGTGACTTGTACGGGCCCAGAAGTCAGGCACCTATGCCGGCCTCCGTGCTGTGTCCTTCAGGGCTGTGTGGAGGTGATGTCCAGAGGCATTGATGGGCTTCTTGGCTGGGTGAGCTCTGCTTGGTGAGCAGAGTACGGCGGCCCACGCTCCAGGTGTGCCACAGTGCTGGGCCTGCCGCTCAACTGCCTGCAGCTGCTGTGGGCCAGGCTCCATCTTCTCAGACCCCGCAGGGTTGGCTGGGGCCCCCACATCAATGATAGTGATTGATTCCCTGGCCCCGGGTCAGGGCCTCTGCCGGCTGCCAGCCTCCACATGCTCAGGGTCCTAGCTTCTAGAAACCCTGTCCATACCCACTGGACTGTGGCCTCAGCTCCCACAACAGGACATTGGGGGACCAGCCCTGGGCCCTTAGGTCCAGGCCTGGCCACCCATCATGGCTTTTCTCATTACAACTCCATAGCTGCATTCAGAGTGGAGAGCACCCCCAAGACAGAGGGAGGCAGGTCTCACTGTCTGCCAACACCCTTCTGGATGGTTTGCCGGGACCCCAGAATACCAAGCCTCAGGACAGCCTTCCTTACCCCCGGCTGCGAGCGCTGGGAGAGGTCCTGTGTGACACCAGGACCTCTGGAGTGTCAAGCTTGGCACAATGCTGGCCCTGCAAAGGGATCGACGAATGGTTGTTCTTGTTGTCCTGCCCTCCTCTTCCGGCTCCAAAGCTGCCAGTTCCTAAGCCTGAGCCTCAGGGACAGGCAGAAACATGGCTTCCCCCTCCACTGAGTGGAGCTGGCAACTCTGGGGAGAAGGCTCCTGGGCTGGCTCGAAGATAGTGCTGCCTTTGCCTCTTTGTCAAGGCCCCAGTCCTCCAAGAAGGGTTCCCAAGGGCACAGCTGCAGCCTCAAGGGCAGATGGCCATTGGCGCAGCCCCTGTCTTCTCCAGGCAGGAGGGCCCCGCCAGGTCTAGCTTCCAGCGCTCCCTGGAACTCATTAGCGCTTATTAAACCCATCTGCTCCATGTGCAGGACCAGCCCTGAGTCTCCAGTCCCGGCCCTGGGTGTGGGAGAGACTGCACATAGACGGTGATTGTGTGACACGAGCGTGGGGTCCTTGAGGCTCCGGAGAGCTTGTGAGGGCCAGTGCTGACAGTGGCCAGGCGGACTGGGCTCAGGAGTGGCCGAGGTCTCACTTTCAGAGCGTCTGGCCCTGCACGGGTTTCACCTCCCTGGGCACTGTGGGTCTGCTGCCCTGCATCTCACTGACGAAGCTGCCCTTTCTGCTTGCCCCCAGGAGTGCATCATTGATGAGGACTGCGGCCCCTCCAGTTACTGCCAGTTCACCAGCTCCCAGAACACCTGCCAGCCGTGTCTGAACCAGCAGACGGTGAGGGTGCCCGGGGTCTCCAGGGCTATGGGACCAGGCTCATGGGGACGTGGGGGAGTTCGGAGCTGAGCCGTTGGAAAAGCCTACAGTGCTGGGGGGTGGGGCTGACTCCTGGAGCGAGCCGGAAGTCATCCCAGACTGAATTCTCAGAAGCCAGCTGTAGAGCTGCCGCCACCTCTGCCCCACCCCATGATCTCTGCTCACGTGGTCGTCTGCCTCCTGGATGGCAGAGACGGGAGGGCAGGAGGGGAGAGAAGGAGGCCCCATGCCTGGCCCTCCCCATGGGATCCTATCCTAGAGATACAAAGCGGCACATCTGCAGCCCCAGGGGGGGAAAGGGCAGCTCTCTTCTCCTTCCAGGCCTGCAGCTCAGCCCAGGTCTTTCTCCCAGTCTGCTCTGTATGGGGCAGATTGAGGAGGCAGGAAGAGGCTGGAGCTTTGCTGTAGGGTTTCACTGAGAAGGGTGAGGCCAGGGCAAAGGGCTGCTTCTCCATCCCCACAACAGACCCTGGGGACAAAGTCATGGGTGCTCAGATTTCTTGTCATTTTTTTCTTTATTATGACAACACAGCCTGATAATAAATTTCAAAAGTAAAGGGGGTCTTCTTACCTGGCTTGGCTTCATCTGTGGTGAGGCAGTTGCTGTTGCACCTCCCAGCCCACCCTGCACTGCCACAGCTGTGGGGACCCCACACCATGCCCCGTGTGGGGCAGCTCACAGCACCCACTGCCTTCTGGTCCAGGGCTGACCCGCCAGGTTACTGGAATCATGTTTCCTCGTGCACAGATGGGCCTTGAGCCCTCCCTTTCTGACTAGGGGACCAATGATGAGAGGACCCTAAGGATACCCAGCTATCCTTTGCAAAGTCTTGAGCTTTGTCAAAGAAAGATACCCGCCTCCCCAAGTGGCATTTGACCCCTCACATCTTCACAATGCACTCGTCTTGAGCCCCTTGACCTTCCAGAGAGCCCTACCCCTTCCCACAGCCACCATCTCCTCCCCACAGTGGAGACCCACGAGCCAAACCCTCGAGTTTCTTCCCGCCTCTGCAGCTCTGCACCCAGGACAGAGAGTGCTGTGGAGACCAGCTGTGCGTCTGGGGTCGCTGCACCAAACAGGCCACCAGAGGTGGCAACGGGACCATCTGTGAGAGCCAGAGGGACTGCCAGCCTGGGCTGTGCTGCACCTTAGAGAGAGGTGGGTGGGCTCCCCTCTGGGGGAAGGGGAGGCCATCGCAAGCTGTACCCAGCCTGCTGGGGCTGCAGCAGGCCATCCATACCTTTGCAGACTCGGAATGCTCACAGTGTGTGTCCCGGCCCCACAGGCTGGCCTGGAGTGGGAAGAGCATGGTGTTTTGTTTTCCCTATTGATGCCTGGCTGAATTAAATCCCTGGCATGAGCCCAGGGGATTCCAGCACCCACTCCCTGTGCCACTCACCCCATCCTTCTCTCTGTGCATTGCCCCTCCCGCTCCCAGTTTCCGTCCACACTACCTCCCCCAGGTGAGGTCTGCGCATGCTTACTCTGCCCCCAGCAGCGTGTCCCCAAAGCTCTCCTTAGCCACCTCCCAGCCCCTCAACCCCTACTGCTTCTCCCAGTGCCGGCAGCTGGGGTGTCCCTGAAGCCCTTCCTGGGAGTGCTGCTCCAGGGTGCCCTTAGCACCACCATCTCCCTCTCCTGCAGCCACCCACCTCCCATGGCCTCCTGTCCCTCCACTCTTTGGCCCGGCTTTCCCCATGGGGCCTTCCTGGCCCCAGGCTTTTGTCAGCACAGTGCCCCGCTCTTGAATGCCTCGGTTCCACTCTTAATCTCTCCAGGCTTTTCGGCTCTCCAGACCTAGCTGTCCTCTTCCAGACAGACCTCCCTGACTGCTCCAGGCCTCCTCCCCAGCCATCCCCTCCTGAGCTCAGACTACCATTCTCCTTTCCTTTCATTCCACTTCCTCAACCTTAACTTCACTTGCGGGGGTGGGGGTGCGCCTCTATTGCTGCCCCTCTGTGGTGACTGTTAGCTGGTTCCAGGCCTGCTGTTCCCCGTGTGTAGTCGGCTGGCCCTGGAGGGTGAGCTCTGCCGTGACCTTGATGCTCGGGTAGTGGACATCATCACCTGGGAGCTGGAGCCCAGCGGGCCTTTGGACCGGTGCCCGTGTGTTAGCGGCCTCTTCTGCCAGCCCCACAGGTGAGTCACCTCTGCTTCCTGCTGTGGGGAGGGGAGGTGGTGGGCTGTGGGCAGCAGGGGTGGGGTGCAGGGTCAGGACAGGAGCCTGGGGAGCTGTGGACGCAGTTGAGGGTTGGTTTGCCTGGAGGTGGCCTTGGGTCATCCAGAGGGGAGGGTCCTGGTGGTGTCAGATCCATGTCAAACGTTGAGCGGGTTCAGATTTGGGGCTCATCCTGATGGCAGTTTCAGCTTCCCAGGGGATGACCCATGGAGAGGGCATGGAGGGACAAAAGCTGAAGGCTGAGGAGACGCTCAGGCCATCATGGTGACGGATAAGAAGAGAAGGCACTGGCAGAAGCAGGGGGGTAGTCAGGAATGGGCCCCCAAGGTGGAGTGCGCCAGCACCTTGGAGGCAGCCAGGAAAGGGCTCAGGCATGGCCGGCATCTCCACACAGCTTTCTGTCCCAGCAGAGCTTTCCAGCACAGCTGGACAGACAGACGGGAGTCCCTTCCTCCCCCACAGAGGCCCTGAGCTCCCCCTTGTGCTGCAGTTTGGGGTTAGACTGTGACTGCACCCCACTGTCAGGCTGCCTGCTGCCCAGGTGGGCAGGGGGCTGAGAGGCACCATGTGGCCTTGAACTCCCAAATCCAAAGTCCACAGGGCCTACCCCTGGGCTGCTGAGCCATGGGTCGGTCTAGGAACACAGGACATTGTCTCATTTGACCTTTCTTCCGACCCCTCCTTTAAGAGGAGATGTTAAGATGTTAACGGGAACTGTGAGAGGAAGTGCGAGTGTGCAGGGGAGGCCAGAAGCCCGGCGTGCAGCAGCCTAGGGCCTCACACATGGGCCCCCACCCTAGAGTCTGGCTTTGTCCCCATGGGGGAACTTTGGCCAGGCCACAGCCACAGCCACATCTTCCCACAGCCACAACCACATCCCGGTGTACACATGCAAGCCGGCCTTCGACAGCAGCCGCGACCCCAACGGGGACAGCCTGTTGTCCAGGGAGGCTCCCACTGAGGACGAAGACGGCGGCTTCATGGAGGGGGTGCGCCAGGAGCTGGAGGACCTGGAGCAGAGCCTGACCCAGGAGATGGTGCTTGGGGAGCCTGCTGCCACCGAGCTGCTGGGCGGAGAGGAGATGTAGATCCAGACCAGGGCCATGGGTAGACGTGCAGTAGAAGTAGCTAATTTATTTCCCCAGGTGTGGGCTGGCCAGGCTTTCCCCGTGTCCCCTTCCCAGTAAGTTTCCCCTTTGGGTTGACGAAACTAGGTGCTGTGCATTTGTCCAGTTGCTCCAACCACACTCCAGGTGTCCTCATTCTGGGCAAGGTGGGGTGGGCAGACTGGGGGTAGAACCCAGCTGCCCCAAATCATTGGCCCCTCTGCCCCTACAGGTTGACATCAATTTGAGAGTTGTTTGAGGGTGGGGGATGGAAAATGAGGTAGTGTCTGCCTAGGACAGGTTTGGGGAAATGTGGAGAGGGGGCCCTGCTTTGCAAACATCAACCTGGCAAAAATGCAGTGCAATTCTGTTTGTGCAGTTCTTCCCCTGGGCACAGGTGTCCGGTGCTTGCTCTGCTTTATGCATGCTCCTTTGTCAGCTGTTTTATTCAGTTCCTACCTCGTGTTAGGATAGAATTTTCACACCCACCATTGAGTCACTCTCAGCTGGGCATGGGAGAGTGTGGAGGCTCAGAGACCACAAGCTACTTGCCCAAGTCACATGGCAAGTGAAGACCAGACTGAGTTTCCCCCCTTGTGACTCCAAGCCCAGCATTTTCCCAGTTAACCCACACCAGTGTCAGTGCCACCAACACAACCCCCCAGAGAGATAATAATAAGATCTGTGCCTAGAAAGAAGGTCAAAGTAGTTTCCACAACTCTGTTAGAAAGAGTGTAGGGTGGCCATCATTTTAGTGGAGACCAGTGGTACGGACACTGTCTCCCCTTGGTGTCTGCATTAGTAACTTAGAAGGTACATGATTAGAGCGTAGAATCTAAGCTAACCCGCTGAAGACATACATAGGTAATTGAAAGGCCTAGATTAGTAATGAGATTTGCAGAATCACTTAGCAGCAACTGAAGACCATTATCAAGCACAGAGAGAAAATCAAACCAGGCCAGACTCTATGAAATATGGTTGTAATATCCAAACCGAGAACATTGAACATGAATGTCATCCCCAAATGATATTTTCAGTTGCCAAGAACTGTTGCCATCATGTATTTGTCCAGAGTTACTAAACTTTAAAGTCGTACATGATTGTCTCAGCATGCTTTCTTTGGTTTTAAATTATGTATAAACACATATGTTGCATTTTGAAATCAAGCATAAATCACTTTGACTACTCTTCTGTAGTTCTTGGACTTCTTTTCTTCTGACTTTGAATAAATATAAAACTTTCAGCCAGAAAAAAATAGAAATGATCTATATTATAAACAGACAAACAAAAGATGTTCTTCGATGGAAGAAGCACATTTCCCAGACATCTGCAGTATGCCTCTTGTAGCATCAAAGTATTTTAGAAATCTTAACCATTTTTGGATGGAAGTTTATCTTAAGGTTGTAAATATTTTCCTATCTCCTGGAAGAACAAACGGAATATAGATGCATCTTTTCCTAAAAGCCTCTGTAACAGTCAAGTGCATTTTGGGGCCTGTGTTAGCCTTCTCTGGCTGTAAAAAAATACCTAAGAAGTTAACTTGCGAGGGAAATGGTTTATCTTGGCTGACAGTTCTGGAGGTTTTAGTCTCTGCTTTGGATCCGGATTGGGGCGGCTCATCGCGGTGGGAGGTGTGGGGGAGCCAAACTGCTCACCTCAGGGCTGGAAAGCAAAAGAGAGAGGACAAGAATGGAACCCCACAGTCCTTTCTCAGGGCATGGCCCCAGTGTCCCAGGGTCCTTCCAGCCCTCCATCCTGGGGACCAAGCCTCTAACACGTGGCATTTGGGGGGACACTGACTTAATTGATCTGAGGATCATAGCACAATAGGATCTTCAAGGACTATAAGAATGAAGCTGTTAAAAGCTGAGGTCAGCTGGGTTTCAGGCACCAGGCTGGGCATTCCACCTCCCTACACGAACTTGTTTCACCTGCACTGAACTGCATGTATATTTTCATTGAACAGATGAAGAAATGCAGGCACAAAAAGTTGATAGAGCTAGAAGTCTGACCAAAATGGCATCTAGTTTAGTCTGCCCAGGATATACTGATTATTTTATGATCAGGTAGGGAGGTGGTCTCCCTTGGGTGCCGAAACTCACTGGGACCACTCTGCAGCCTCTGTGTCACCCAGCAGTGTGTACAGAGAGCTGCTCAGAAGCAGGTGCTGTGTTGTGTATTGGGGCGCCCTGTTGGCCTGGGTAGAGTCCATACCCTGAGGCATCAGCTAAACCAAACAAATACACAACAGAAAAGGGTTACCCACGATCGGTATGTTCGAGCCTGAGTGTGGCACATGGCTTGGAGAACCGGCATGGGAACTGGCTCATGGGGATGATAACCTTTTATGAGGATGCCAGAGGGAACAAGAAAAGCTTTCTGTGCCATGGCAGAGGGAGGGCAGCCAGAGGGGTTGGTGTTGTGTAGAGGAAACCGTTATTTGCAATGGCTGGAAGGCAGGGAAAGCTTGAGGATGTGTTTGGAGAAGATGCTGAAAATTGTTTCATCCAACAAAAAATGTATTTAGCACCTGCATGTGTCAGGCCCTATGTTAGGTGCCAGAGACAGTGGTGAATGAGACACAATTAGGTCCCCGTCTCCTGGAGCTTATATGCTGGCAGTGACCCTACTCCACTTTGTTACTCTAGCAACTGAAATATAAGAACATGAGCAGCTCTGCAACATACTTGGCCAAATGCACATATAGCATAGATGTGGTGCTTTCTCAACTCTGAAGTGTGCAAGGGTTAAGTGGAGTGTGGTTCTTGAATCTTGTTGCTCTTCTTCTGGTTTGATTTCTCACCATGGAAGCCATGGCAGATACTGGAAGACTGGCTACTGAGCAGCTCTTCCCAGCTTGGGATGGTCACAGGACTCACTTCTGGTTGAGAAAATGTAAGGGCAAAGCTGTCAAAGGGCTTCTAGGAAGGACTTTTCCTTCAATTGGCAAGAGAAAGTGACAAGAAGAGAGTCCCTGCCTGAGTCCCTCCACCCCATTCTCTTGTTCCCTGCCTGGGACTACAGCTGTAGGATGAAGTATTTGTCTAGGGGTCAGCTGTCTGGGGTCCTGGGATCAGGGATGCTCTGAGGGCATCTATTTCCTCACCTCTTCCAGTCTTTCTGGGTGGCTCACATTCCTGGGCTCATGGCCCCTTCTTCAAGCCTGCAGAAGGTCTATCCTCTTTGACTGCCTTCGTTCTGATTCTCTGCAGCAGAAGTTTTCTACTTTTAAGGATTCATAAAATTAGTCTGAGCCCACCTGGACGTGCAGAATAATTTTCCCAGGCCAAGGCCCATAACCTCAATTGCACCTGCAGTCTCTTGCCATGTAAGGCAAATATCCAGAGTGTAGGCTGTGGGCATCTTTAGGCTACTGTTACTCTGCTTACCACAGAAGGCTGAGTCTCAGTCCTTGATGTTGAAGAGGAAACCAATTCTGGTCTCACCTTCCCCAGGCACCTTTTCAGGTAAAACATGAACTAAAGCTGCTGTTTGAAGCCCAAAGCATTCCTGATGCAGAAACTAGTCTCCTAAACACTAGGCAAAGGCCCCTTGGCCAGGTCCTCTGAGTTCTGCACACAGCCAGGTGGGAGAAGGGATGTGGGGGCAGAATGGGTTTCTAAAGCTCAAGGGCCAAGATCTGGGGAGCGAGGACCCACACACAGCTGGTTGGGTGCTGCCTCCACGGTGTTCGTGGCACTACCCATTATAAATGCCCTTTTGGAAAGGTGCAGTGTTCGGGAGACAGACCCCCATTTCCCGTGAAGGAGGAAAAAACTAGACTTATTCCTTTAGCCAAAAACTGAGGGGAACTTTGAGGGAAACGGAAACTTTGTATAGGAGCAACTGACAGCTAAGGGCGGGAGCCAAGACATGTGGACTTGCATCCATCTATGACAGGGACGGATGAAGCATCAGCCAGAACGGTAGCCAAATACAGCTCTAGGGCAAGGGATCACCTCTTTTGGTCCTCAGTAGCTCTCCAGAGGCAAACCAGATGGATCCTCAAAGCATCCACATCCCAAAATAGGACAGGAAGATGAAAGTATTGGCCGACCAGTGCAGCGTGTGATAGTGGTGCATGCATCAGAAGAACGTCTATTGCCAGGAAGAGCGAGTTTTCAGGTTTCATGAGGGACCACCAATGCTGTTTGGAGGTGAGTCCTTCACAGACAGAACCTGTAGAGCATCCACCTTCAAGCCTACAAGCATAATGACCAGATGAAAGAGATCAGTGACCTCACCGCCACCAACTAGGCTGCTCATGTAGGCAAAGGTCTTTTCCTTCCTCCTTACCTTGCCCATCAGCAGGGTGGTGCAGGAAGAGGGGTGCTTCCACAGTGCCCTTCTGCCCAGTTACAGCAGGGGAAGCACAGCTAGTGTCCATATGGCACAGGGAGCTCTGATCAGATTGTCCTAATATAAAGTATTAAGACTTAAAAATGACAGGATTGCACTGAGGGCTTGATAAGCACTCTTTTCTCCGTGGGAAATTAGATAGAACATAGTTGGCAGTTACTGGAAAAGCAGCCACTGCTATTATACCTCCACAAGCTGATACTCTTTAAACAGGCATTACAGAAGCAGCTGTGAACAGTGCGCCCTTCGTTTGCTGGGAAGTGGGGGAGTTGGGAGCACAGAAAGCAGATGCAAGATGGTGCCTGGTCTGCACCTTTAACGCTATGCTACAGGGTCCAACAGTAATTTAGAGCTGGTGAATTCTTGGGGTCTAAATCAATCAAGATCAACTCCTCTTGTGGAGGTGAGGGTGGAAAGACAGCATTCTTCCTGATGCCTTCTGGCATCCTAGCTTGGCCCCCACTGATAGGTACATGCTTTTCCAAGTGGTCACGTACGCTTCAACTCATTCTGGAGTCTGTCCAGCTGTCTTCTCAAAGCTGAGCTATGAAAATTAACACGTGACCAGATAATCACAGCCTTCTTTCCTTTGTGATCTATATTAAAGGAGCATCTCTTATTTCATGCACACTAAATCTATGGGGCTATAAGCCTCCTTGTGGCCACGAACTGCTTTGGTATCTGATAAAAACCATCTACTGGTCCTCTAGAAAATGACTTTGCATTTGAGGATTCATAGCCTTCTTACAAGGGTTTAGACTGTCAGTGACCAAAATACTGTTTTTTCAAAGATTACACAGAACTGTTTGGATGGAACAGTTTTATTTAGCAAACAAAAAACTTGCTGATTCAAAGTTATCTCCTACTCCATGGACTGCACTCTAGGCTACAATCTGTATGTTGCAAGCGCAAGAGAGGTGGTCGGAGCCTGATGCTCAACAAAAGAGCAAAATCCAGAGGGAGAACTATGACATCCAATCGGAAAGGAAATAGTAGCAGATGAACCATAAGATTTTATTGTATGCCATACATTCACAGGTCACTTCCAGATTCAGTAACAACACAACACGATGACGGTGATGCCCAGACCACGTTGAGCCATAGCTCGCCCACTCATGGCCTCAGGTGAACCACGATACCATGCCTAACAGTGTGGCTGGCAACCAGTGGCTCTTTCGCTTTTTTTTTCCCCCCCTAACTGGACCATAGGTTCTATCTTCTCAGAGTTGTGAAGTTATTTCCATTACAAGAAATCAACACAGTTCTTTAGTTTGAGAAGCACACCCATAACTGGTTTTTGTACTGAGCAGATGCACAGGGCGTGACCCTGAAACTGCAGCTCTGCTCTGTAGCCAGACTGCACCTCTTACCTCAGCACCTGCCTCAGCAATGCAGTCTCAGTTCTTACAGGGTGTGCGTGGTTGACGTGAACTCCTCTGAACTCCTCTGCTCACAGAACAGCTCCCCAAAGCTTCTGTATGACCTCACAACACCGTGTGTGGTCTGCCTCAGCCTCAGGAGCTGAGTGATCACCAGGCTCCATGGCCTGAGCTTACCTGACACTTCAGCCACTCAGGGGTTATAGACGCTCCCTTAATTCTCCGAGGCCTGGGGAGGTAACCTCAGAGAAGCTACTCTTCCTACCCCTACAAAGTTACTCTGAAGAACTTACCACCTCTTTGTATTAAAGTGTGATGTTGTGTTTCCATTTCTTCTACCAGGCACTGAAAAGCAAGAAACTTTTAACTTTTTGTTTATATAATGAAATATAGTCTCCTACTCTTGGTAGTTAAAATATGCCTGCAATTCAGAAGCAGCAGTACAACACAAAACAATAAAACCAGAGCAAAAGGCACAGAGCAAGGGCAGAAGGACTTTACCACTGACTCTTGGAGAATATCAAGTGAAACCCACCCCAAACCCCACTCTACCTACAAGTCTGCCTTTTCTGCTTCCCAGGAAGCCAGTCCTGGAAGGCACAAATCCTATTTATTAAGCCCCATGTTCCCAGTCAGCAGGCCTGGGTCAGAATTGATTTGCTATCTCCTTACATCACAAAATTGAAGTGACTCTAAAGATACTTCATCACAAATGCTTTACATTTTCTTCAGAGAACATCCTAAGCTCACTAATGCAAACTCAGAAAATTACTTCAAATTTACCTGAACACAGTACAGGTTACATGGAATAAAAATTCGCAAGAAAGATATCATAGAAAATATTTTTTCCCTTGTGGATTAAAGAGACTTTCAAGACATTATGGAATTCTCAGTGATTATATTCATGTAGAGCCAACATCTGCTAATACTCTTTTCTAATTATATCTTTTGTAAAAGGGAAAAAAAAGGTAAAAATATGATACTGAAACACTGGCAGGATCCCCCAAAGTTAGTTATTAACATTTTTTCACTTCTTTCGTGAGAACTTTCGTGAGAACTGTAAATAGCTTTAGAAATGAGAAAATTATTCAATACATGTTATAAAGTGTTACATTTAAAATGACAAATCTATTCTTAACCCAGATTCTCCAGCCACAGAAGTTTAATGACTAAAATAACACAACAGAATGAACAAATGTTTTATTGGCATGTTCATTGTTGTAAACAGCATCTGGTATGATAAAGTTTTACCAAAACCTTTTTATTGATTTTTATAAATTAGATGGTATTTCAAAATCGTGTAGAATTGTGTTCATTATATAGTTTTATTTAGCAAAGCAAAAACTTGCTGATTCTAATAGACTGCACTGAAATCATGTTGACTACATCAGTCTGTACCAATACCTGACCTCACTAGCAAGTTTATTCAATATGATGTTAAGACGTTTCCCCAAAGTTAAACTACATGTAAGTACAAATTGACTCTAAAATTAAAGTAGGACTTACAAATTCTAGAAGATTCCAACTGGAAGTAAATCTTCAAAAATAAATGTACATAGAGAAAAAAAAGTGAAGCCACTGAACAGAAAACCTTATTAACAAGGGCAAATACAGTCCTATGTGACTCAGCACTGAGGAACCTCACTGAGAATACAGTTACATAGTTTGCTAAACTGCTCAATGTACCCAAATGTACATAGATATGAGAAAAGAATAACCATGGAAAACAGCTGAACTGCAACTATGGTAACTCAGTAGGATGATTTTATTTACATGCTAAATGAACGAGCGAAACATACTCTCTACACCCATAACTTAAGTACAACCAGTTATCATTACAAAACCAAAGCAATCTGAGCTGCCACCTGCTGGGAGTGGTCAAAGGGAAATGTTTTGATGTTTCAGGATTATGCTCTTAATTCCTTGCATAAAATCAAAACAAAATAAAAACACAACTTCACAATTCATTCTGGGTTACAGCTGCTTCTAAGAATTTCTTTCTTCAGCTCCTATTTTTGCTGCTTTCCAAGAGTCAATATACACTGCATTTACTTCTGAATTGTCAATGAGGTAATGTGTGTATCAGTGAAATAAACAGAAAATTCATTCATTCATGGCCTTTGCACAGCTTTTATTATTAAGCTATGAGCATCCTGTTTGAGGCTAGTTTTACTAGCGGCTATGTGCACATTTGTCTGCAATAAAGGAAGCTTACTCATTCCCCTTCCCCTTTTCTAGTAGCAGGCTTTGCTTTGTGTTTTTGTTTTTTTATTTTCTTTTGCACATCCCTTTTTCACTTACAGTACATTTGACTATAGTGCACAACATGATTCCAAGTCACAACAGTGGCCCACTGGGCACTGAGCTTCTGATTGGCGGAGGGCAGTCCAATCAGTGCTGGTGTCACTGGTTACCCCAACCATGTCCGACCTCCATGGCACTACACAGCAGTAGTGAACCATCTATTAAAAACCACAACACCCCAGGGAAATGCTACATCAGCGGTCAGTCCTGCGTCGGGTCTTTATTTGGGGCTCCGTCCAGGTATATTTTCAGTGCTTTCTCTTTACGAGGTGAGTACGTTACACGATGCCCAGTTTTCTGGAGTCGGCTGCTTTCTTTTTTCATCAGTTCGTTTCTTTGCTCATCTGTCAACTCCATTACTTCTTCTGTTTTATCCCTTCATTTAAAATACGAATTACATATTAGACAAGTAAGCTAATGCTTGCCCTTTAGACTTCAGTACTCTGATGACTCTCAGCAAGATAACAAAATCTGATTGGCACTGATGACATCATATATAATCTAAGATACTAGGGTATCCTAGATTGCTAATGCGTTAATCCTATTAGCACACAGTTTACTTCTCCAAGTGGCAAAGAATAATTTCCATGTTACTAAAAGTAATAATAGCGATTATTATTAAACTTTTCTAACAGGCACTTCGCAATAGCTCTAAATCTCACAAAATCCTGCAAGGAAGCTACCACTGTCACCATTTTACCACATGAGTGGAACTAGATAAATAAGAAAGCCAGATTTGAACCCACACTTGCCAGGCTCCAAAAACGATTACTTTTCCTCTGTATCTGTGTTGTCCACTAAGGTAGTCACTGGACACATGTGGCTATCGAGCGCTTACATGTGTCTAGTCCACACTGAGATGGGCTGAAAGTGTAACACACAACACTTCTAAGATCTAGTACAATAACCTGTCCCATAAATGATGTTTTATATTGATGATGTGTTTTAACGATAACATTTTGGCTGTATTGGATTAAAAATATTTTCTGAAAATCTTGCCTGTTTCTTTTTACTATTTTTGAAGTGGCTACTAGAAACTTCAAATAATAATATGTGGTTCTCACTGTATTTTTACTGGTTAGTACTGTTCTATATCAAAGCAATAGTAAAGTTACTTTATGTGCACCAAAAATGTTTTCTCACTTGAAGCAACAAAAATATTAGAATGTTACCTATAAAATATGACCGCCCCGTCATCACAGATATAAAGAGGCCAGACATTCAGGGTAGAAACTTTAGGATTCCAGTCCAAATCCTGATGAATATCAAGCACAGAAATATCACAGGGAAAAGTTCCTCTACCCTAAAAAGAAAAGAATGAAGGAAAAAAGCATGCCTTTAACCACGCTTATTGTGTACGAATATGCAAAAACAAATGTAAACATTCTCAGCACTTTACCTTGGCAAATTCAATATCTTCCAGAGGAATCCCACTGATTTCACTAAGCTGTAAAAGAAAAAAGTCTTATATAAACTGAAAATAGAGTAAATTTGCTTAAGAAAGTTATTTGCCTTTTATCCTACAAGCAGAAATAGCTTGATTTTTCTTTTTCCAAAAAAAAATATGTGTGGTAAAAAAATAAAACGCAGAAAGTAAAATTCTCTCATTTGCCACCACGCAAATACCAAGCTTCCAACACATCAAATTAATATATTCCTTCTAGATCTTTCTTATAATAAGCACATTCACATATTTCTAAGATATGGGAATTATAAGGCACCTCTACTAATTTTATATAGCTTAATAGAAAAACAGGATAAACAGTAACTTCATAAATCACATTTCCTAGATGTAGAATTGTAAATGTGAAATGCTGACAATGCCAAATTGAACCCTGAAAAATACTATATTAATTTAAACACTCCTCAAAAATGTGTGATATTGCCTATTTCTCCCAAATATTGACACTGTATTTCTTCATTTTGTGAATCTTCACCAACAGGTAAGAAAAAATGTTGTTCTTTTAATTTGTTTTCTTCTATGAATTGTCTGTTCATCTATTCATATTCCTTGCCTTTTTTACAAAATTAGGTTGTTCACCCTTTTCTTCTTAAGGTCGTAACTCCTTATAAATGACACAAGTCATGTTTTATGTAGGTTGCTTTATCTATAGGTTTTATAAGATACTTTTTTTTCCCATTTTGGCTGTGCAGATGATTTAAGCTTTCATGTAGTATATCTTTTTTTTTATTCTGGTATTATGCTTACAGATATTTTTCCTCTATGATTATGGACATATTTTCAAAATTCAATATTAATATTTTTATATATTTTCATCCAGTATGTTTATTATTTTCTTTTTAAAAAACTTTATTGAAGAAAAGTAAAACAGAAATTCATAACAAAATAATAGGACAATAACAACAGTTAATACATTACCTTATTGTCATCTTCAAAGCAGTTACTCAGAGTATAAGATATGGGCATAAAAAATTCTTCAATCGGTATTAGTACAAACATTTCTTTTCATTAACTAAGAGCTACTAATAGTATAGCTAATTTGCACTTTTCTCCCTTTTCCCTTCCTTCCTTTCACCTATCCCAGTTCCTTTTTTTTAAAACAATTTCTTCTCATTTCATAATACCTATTATACATTTTAGATCTTATTTACTTTTTTATTTTAATTTCTTATGTAAGTTTAACATGCTTTTATTTTTGTATCTGGTATGAAGTACGGAAATGAATCTTTCTATAGAGGCCAACTGCATTAGTACCACAAGTGGAACACTTCACCCTTCCCCTAAGATCCTTAGTTCCTACCTTAACACGCAAAATAAATCTTCATCTGGATTCTCTATTCAATTCTACTTCACTTGATTTTTTAAGAAATACAGCAATTTACTAACTTCTAATTAATCCTATCTGTTTAGATCACAGTTGGTCCAAGTAACATAAAGATCCACTTCCAGATAATGAGGAAACAAAGTAATCCCAAGGCATCAGAGCCCCAAGTGATGACCAGAGACTGGCAGAAGGTGTGCAGACCGAGAAAGGCTGCCAGCAGCAACAGTGCCTGATACTTCCAGGCCCTCTCGCACGTAATGCAAGAAAAATGGAAGTAGTTCATTTTGTTTAAAATCGACTCACCTTCTCTCGCAACTCATCAACACTACTGCTCTCCAATACAACCTCCTGGAAGGGATCCAACTTCATCTCCGAGGGCCTCCACCGCCGTGATAAAACAGCAAGCTGTGACATGGACTTCATCTTCTCCACGCCTAAGAACATGCAACATAACACCTGTCATTCCATTTTCTTCAAAGCTTCATAACTCTGTAGTTCCTGGCTAAACACAAAGATTTTCTTCAAGTGTTATTCTTTAAAATTGGGCACAGAAGAAACCAATCATCATGAGAATTTTAAGCATGAAATAGAGTCTGCAAAAAAAAATGTAGATGCACTACTTCAGGAAAAGAAACATAGTGTGTTTTCCACATATGGTGTTGCCCTTGCATGGGAGACCCTAGAGGATGTTGTACATTGCAGAAAACCCACTACACTGCCAGCCCTTAGAGAAGAAAATGAAAATGCATGTGTATCTCAATGGCCACGGTTACCCAAGCAGGGGTTCACCATACTAATAAATGTCTAATGGCCACCACTGTGTGCATTTTTTTGTATTTGTGGAGGCCAAAGCTAACTTGCATTAATCTCATGATGTCTCAATAAATTTACCATTAAAATGTTTATACGTTTTTCTTTTCCTTAAGTACTGTATGCATTTATTTTTTCAGACTCTGTGTTTACTTTCTTTCCTCCAGTCTCAATAGATAACTGCTTTTTTGGAAGCCAACTTCAGCTACTCCCTCCTCACCCTTCCGGGACACTGCTTGACCATTTATGCTCTTCTCTGCTTCAATCTGCTTCTCTTGTGGCTACTATACCAATCTAATATCATAATCATGTATCTTCACTTTATCTTCTTTTTTCACTCAAGCTATCATTTATTTTTCTCTTTGCATCTACTCTCAAATTTAGTGATTCTTCAAAATTCAGCCAAACTATTGCTTGTCCATCTTCCATTGTCATTTTCTACTGACTGGTCCCTTAGCACCTGTCATCTCAGGATGACGGGTGTGCAGTTTTGTTTCTCCCGTGGACTAGATGTGTATAGCAGATATCTCTGGTGCTTATTTTTGTAGCACCAGGGCTTAGTAGTGTCTGCCAAATCATAGCTTAATAGAAGTTTTTGTACTTAGCTACATGATTCACTTCTTACTCAATGACTTTAATGCTAAAGTATATACTGAAATGATACTGATGCTCATACCCACCCTCCAACAGCAGGACCACTTTCTGGTTACTCCATCTCTTCTTGTACATCATATGCAATCCCTCTCTTCTACATCCTGCATGATACCTTCCTAGCCTAGTCAGACCCAGTGGTTGTTCACTAAGCACCCAGACACTCAGAGAAGGGAATCATAGTCTGGAGCATACACCATGGCAGATGGTGCCCCACTAGTTCTTTGCCTCAACTTACTGGTCAAATAATCAGAATTTCAATTATTTAAATTTAAACCAAATTAGACCTGAACTAGCCTGTAAAAGGTGAGGTGTTAGTATTATGAGTGCTCTAGAAACTATTATAATCTTATTCGGAACCCAAAATGAAATCTTCCCGAGCAACAGCAATCACAAAAGAATATAGAACTCATTATTTACCTTGATGTGATTGCCCAAAAGCCGACTTTCCTCTCATTACCTCTTCTAAAAATACAATACTCAAATGTTCCAACATTGAAAGTAAAATCAAAAGCAATGACAAATACAAATGCTCTTAGAGTGCAGTGCTATGGATTGAATTGTTTTCCCACGAAAGACATGAAGTCCAAACCCCTAAGTAATTCATAATGTGACGTTATTTGGAAATCGATTCTTTGCAGTGGTAATCAAATGAAAAGGAGGCTATCAGGGTGTACTCTAACCCCCAAATGACTAGAGTTTTCTAAACATGGGAAATCTGGGTACAGGCAAGCCCACTAGAAAGAAACTTGGGAAGACGAAGGCAGAAATACATCCATAAACCAAGGAAAGTCAAAGATGGCCACGACCTCTCCAGAAGCGAGGGAGAGAAGCACTAGCAAGATACTTCCTTAGGGAGGAAATGCCTTAGAAGGAAATGCCCTTGATCTCACCCCCACAACTGGGACATACTGCATTTCTGTTGTTTAAGGTACCCAATTTGTGGGGCTTTGTAATGGAAGCCTAAGTAATGAAACGGTTGTCACTCTCAAAATCTATAAGTTACCAGTAAGAGTCTCAGTACAAAATTAGCCCTAATGAAAAATGAAAATAACAAACATAGCCAAGAAAACATTAGCAGAATTTTCTGCAAAACGTACTATGAAAATCTAATTATAATTTCCTGTAAGAGGGAATTCATCTCAAAATTAAGAAAAATATTTTGAAGGCAACAGGGATCCAGTGAAAGGTGAAAGGTAAAAGGTAAAAGGCATTGATGTTCTGTAAAAATAAAGTAGGCAGTTATATTAGGACCCTGGAAGAAAACCAATCTCTCAGGGATGGGGGCGTGTAGGCATTACATCAGCCCACAATAATGTATCTTTATGTTTAATGACACAGAAATACTACACTGTATATCAGATTCCTGGTAATTCATAATTTGACTAAACACGATAGGCTCCTTTTAGTTTTAGAGCATTTCTAACTCATATTTCCCCAGAAGAATATTGATAATACCATCAAGAACTTCAAGGAAAACTTCCCAGTTGCTGGAAATATTAATATCTTCTTCATAAATATGATAATCCAAGAAGACAGTGCCAGGATTCTTCCATGTTTTTTTCCTTAGACGAAACCTACAAACATGATAACAATTTTATTTTTTTTTTGGTTGTCTTTTTGAGACAGGGCCTCCTATGCAGTTCAGGCTGGCCTTGAGCTCACTTTGTAGCCCAAGCTGGTCTCTCACTCACAAGGATCCTCCTGGCTTAGCCTCCCAAGTGCTGGGATTACAGGTGTGCGCCACCACGCCCGGCCATGATAACAATTTTAAAACTACTATAATTTGAAATTTCTAAATTAAAAAATTGACATTAACCTATAGTTTCAAATACAGAAGTGAAACAGTTATTCATTAAAATTTGAGGAAAATGTAAAGAAATGCTCCCAGAAATTAAAATTTAGTATCCTCCACAGGAAATTCAAATAAAGTTCCAGTATTTTTTTTAATCTTACTAATCTGCAGAACTAAAACTCTGACTAGTATAGGAATTTTCATAGGAAAATCACATCAGTCTATATCAACTGACTACATAATCTTTTGTTAAGTGGCTAAAGATACTGCAACTTTACCTGTCAATACTGAGCTCTAAGCCACACTGCTCCCTGAGTTGAGGAATTAATTCCTCTTTTGATTGCCGTACAGTCATTCCTTTAGCGAACACAGCATCGAGCAGAAACTTGCATGGCTACAAATACAAACATAAACAATCAGAGTTTGAATTACACATTAAAGGATTATAAAGACATTTTGTTTGCACTTTACAGTTTAACAATGAAGGGACCGAATTTTAGGGGTCTAACTTCCTAGTCTCAAATCTTAGCTCCTCACTAACTTACTAGCTCAGCTATCTTGGGCAAGCTTACTTACTGTCTGCCTCAATTTTCTTATCTATAAACTGGGGACACTACTTTCCTCACTGACTCACTATGAGGACTAGGATAATGCATGCATACTTTGCATCTTGTAATAAAATGGTCACAATTTTCAAAGTAAAAGGAAACACTTTTATGGACTAACATGAGAGAAACATACACTAAATTTCTAACAAATTAACTGTCTGAAGAGAGACACAGTATCCACAAACCTGAAACTCCTAAGAAGCATTTAAGTCAAAATGACTGTAACAGGTCACAAGTAAGATTTATGATAGGTGCTTGATACAATATTTGTTACATGAATAAAGGCATTTTATGAAAAATTTAGGTTTTTAAACTTATCTAGGTCCCCAATAAGAAGTTACAAACATCTTTAAAATAGGATCCTTTTATTCTTTAGAGTATCATCCACAAATTTTGTACATCAGAGCAACTAAAACACTTTATTGATTTTTCCCTAAAAAAGAAGGCTATTTATATCCTTCATCCACCATGTAAGGTCATATATGACCTTAACTGAAATACTAAACTTCTCTTTACCAGAGTCTCTTCATCTATGGGTGGGGAATTGTAAGTGTATCAGGGACTTAACAGAGAATTAAATGAGTCTTTCTTTGCAGGCACTTACAATACACAGTAACCACTGTGTCAATAGTTGTTAAATACTAACATGACTCTGGACACAAAAATACCCATTGACTACAGGTCAGGCGCTATCCATAGTACTGTATGATCATTTCCAGAAGGCAAGCACAAACAAATCTCCTTTTAAAAGCGGACAATTTTTGCCTCACTCCAGTACAGTAGCACCACTTTAGCGAAGGGGGACGACAAACAGCCTGTGGGTCAAATTCACTGAATTGGGTAGCTGTATGACTGCAAAACTTAAAAAGAAACAACCAGTTTTAAAAAAAAAAAATGTATGCACTGTTATGTTTTTAGTAAGTACGAAACGTGAACTTAAATTGCTGAGACTCATGACTTACCTCTTGTTCGTTGACCAACAGCTGGTACACTTTAACTCTGTATTCTCCTTTTTTAAGTGCTCTCCCCAGTCTAATTGTAATCTACAAATCAAAAACGTTGTTTTCAGGTGTAGTATTCTCAACAGAATAAGCAAAGCATCCTCACCCCATTGCTTAGTTTTGTTTTCCAAACCTCCCGAGACTGTGGGCTATTTGAGAACAAGAGTTTCACTTCTGAACCCCCAACACCTAGGACAGTAACTGTACACAGTTAACATTTAACAACTGTTTGGCAGATGAAGACAACAACGAACACTGTAAATAACCACTCAGGGTCAAACTGAAAACCCTCTTTTAGGATATCTACTTCATCTGACATGCAAGTAGTACAACATGTTCAAAGCTATCATTTAAATCAGACTCTAGCTAGTCACAGATAATTTTAATCAACCTTATTGTCATCGGAAAATGATGAAAGTGTCTCATTCAGTCGGACGCTCTCAAACTCTTGATTGCTGGCATACACTCGAAAGACCTTAAAGTGAGAGGACAGAACTCCAACAAAGGGCTCTAAGTGTTGTTTGAAAGCTGCCAGAGTAATTCTTTTATCAACATGCACCATCAACCCTAAGCACAAAAAACAAAAAGAAAACCAAAACAGAGACAAAATGTAAAAGAAACCTTTTGAGTATAAACAAGACTATTTATTTTTTATTATACTGTAAAAAGTACTTGTTTTTTGTTAGGCCTTTAGCTAATACGCAATACTGAAGGGACAAAAACATGGAGATTGAGTATACATATATGATAGGTATAACCTGATAGCTTTAAATGTTTTGAGGTATTTAAGTGCTTATTTATGTTGCTGATTTCAAAAACAAACCTCCATCCATTCTTTTAAAATACATACATTTCTAATTCTACCCAGTAAATGTATAAGTTCTGGCTGGGTTCCACTCCTGCCCCCTTGGTGTACTGACTGGCTGTGGGACATGTTCTAAGTTACCGGTCTGTTTTTTCAAAAGGCAAACAGAGACTAAATAGTACCTACCTAAATAGTAGTGCAGTGTGAATTCAATGAACTCGTGGATTTATCATGTGTTTAGCATGAAACATCTTAAAAATAGATACACACATAGCAAGTGCCCTAAAACTGTTAGTAATATTATCTACTTCTGGGATTTCTACTAGAAAAAAAATTCAAGAGTAGCATATGAAGATGTATATTTCATGATGTGGTTGGACTGTTAACAAGAACTGTATCTAACAGAACTATATGTAAATGGACAAGAAATTCCTATCCTCCCTGTGCTTAAACTTAAGCTCTTCTGGCATTGTAATAGGATTATCTTTGATAAATATATTTTTCTAAAACTATCATTTCAATCTTTTGTCCCTAATTTTGAAAGCTACTCAACTGACTGCTTTTATTTCCTCTGTTTCTCACACTCTCACAAAACATTTAACTTCGCTGTGTCTTTTTCTGGTAACAAGGTCCTGCTGAATGGGGGCTGCTCCTCTGCAGCCCCATGGGCTCTAGGTCTCCTCCAAAATGTACAAAGGTGAAGGGCGCAGTTCCAAAGCAGTACTAGTTCACATCCTCAGATCATTCCAACTCTTGGGCTGCTGAACTTTTAGAGATTTTTCAAATGAATTAATGTTCACTGACTATTTAAAATATCCTGGTTATAAAATTCAGATTCAGTGTCAAGTTCAAACAAAATATGAACACGAATTAGAAAAAAATATACAGGAGCAATTACTTTTACTTACTATGTACCTCCTGAGTGTGCATTTATTGTAATTTGCTTAAAATATCAATTTTTAACATTTAGGGAATGCCCCTAAATGTTAATAATCTACCTTGGGGCAAACAAGCTTCTATTTATGTGATATAGCAAGGTATTACATTTCCTAAATGAGCTGGGGATATAGCTCAGTGGCACAGTGCCTGTCTGGGAAGTGCAAGGTTTGATTCCCAAATTTAAAGAAAAATTCCTGAATGAAGAGAGAAAAATTATTTGAGTAGAAATCACAAGCCTATGGCTAGACTTCAGTTATACCACTTAATTTGGTAAAAGGCCAAAGGCAGGGCACTCAATCTCTCAATAGCCTCAGTTTTCCCATGGGATCATAACACCAGTCTGAAAGGCTGTGGTTATGATAGTACAGCAAATTCTAAAGCATTACTCAAATGTAAGGTGTCACTGCCACTTTGGTTTCTCTCCTAACCTCTAGTATCAGATCTATTACTGACTTCGTAACTTCTCTGAATTCAAGTAAACTCCTTCACTGTAAAATGCAGATAACAGTATTTATACCTCATAGTGTGTTTCTGGGTCAATACACATAAAACGCATACCACAGCCGTGGCAAAGGCACAGTGTGTCACCCATCAACCATCAAATTCGTTTACCCACTGTGTGTACCTGGTCATTTCCTCACTGTGCAGAGCCTGTGGTATTACTCCTCAACTATGTTTTCCCAGGTACCCACTTTTGGATCACTATGATCAAGCAGTGTTACTAGGGAGGCCCCTGAAACCTGGCTATCGTTCCTCCTTGTCTAGCTCCACCAGTTTCTAAACATGAAGAGGCACTTAACAGGGTTTTCTTTTCAGAGAAGGCTTCTGTACTGTTTCTAAAAACCTACGAAAATGATAGCAAATGGCTTGTACTTACCACTATGTTTACTACTTGAATAAACATTAGTAAATTGGCCTAGTACAGATTTCAAAAAAGTTAAAATGACCAGCAATCTTCCTTTTAAAGACTTTATTAACTATCTTAAGATGGAAATAAAACTTCTCAAACTATAATTCTAAGTATCCCCATTGAATTCTTCCTAAAGCTGAGACTCATCACCCAAATTTTTCGTATATCATTCTAAAACAAACGACTTAAAAAAATTTTCCTACGAGGAGCTATGCTTAATTTTTCCAATGCTTTTGCTGGGTCGACTACAATGAGAAAGCACAGTAACTACAGGCTACTTCCCTTTGTGATGATGTGAGGAAAGTAATAATGGTAGCAGCCATGGGAGTGGTGTCTTACAATCTAACACCAGAGTCTGACCTTAGCAGTGCGACCGCTTAAGATAGCTGTGTGATGTCAGCTAAACTATTTAATGTGTTTGAGACAGTAATTTCATCAGTGAAAACACCATCAATTTCACACAGCTGTTCTGAGAACAGAATGAAATAATAAGTTAATGAGCCTATGAATAAAAGCTCTACAGAAACTTATTATAATAACATTTCTCTCTCCACTTTGGCCCACCAGCCCACGTTTTCACCCTCAAGTTTCTATAAGATAAATGTATGATGTCATATGATTCCAGGGTTATTTCAAGCTAGTCAGTTAGAACACCAATTTATATACTTATATTACTGATTTTATAATTTCTACTTCCTGTCCCTTTTGTGATACTGAAGGTCAAACTCAAGGGTAAGCTACCACTAAACTACATTCCCCAGACCTTTTTAATTCTTATTTTGAGACAGGATCTTGACAAGTTGCCCACAGAGGACTCAAACTTGCAATTCTCCTGCCTAGGCTGACCTCAGTGCCAGAATTACAGGTGTGTGGCACTGGGACCATCTTACTTTGTTTTAAAAAGAATTTTGAGACTACATGGACCACAGCACTACTGTTTTCCATAGTGTTTGCTTATACACCTCCTCCCCATTATATGAAGCAGATGGTTACAACTTAGGCATCTCTCCTTCTAACAGCTTTCTATTAAAAGCCTTAACACAGTCACAATGGGACTATAATTTGTATGCCTTGCTGCTGGGTCGCTTGAATCACTGGTGGTACATGGTTTTTTATTAATTTTATTTAACCAGTGGGTGGTTTTTTATTAATTTTATTAGTAAAAATAATAATAGGAGTAATTAGATCCATATGCACCAGCAGTGGTACAAGCCACCAATTGGGACAGTCATGCATATACCAACACCCTGGCAAGAATATGTTAAATTATAGTACCGGTCATACTATTCACTACCTATATATGTACTTTTGGCCAAGTCATCCATCCTCTATGAACTTAACTCTTTTTATCTGTCAAATGAAGATCTCAATGTGTGCTTAATTTCAGGGAATCATTAAGTGAGAAATTACAAATACTTTGAAAACTTTAATTGTAACATAATGTCTGTTTTGTTAAGCAGAAATACAAACTAATTTTTAACTAGTTCCCTTCTGCATTTGAAGAAAATGGTTGGGTCTTTTTTTTTTTCATCTTTTTGAGACAGGGTCTTGCTATGCAGTTCAGGCTGGCCTCAAACTTACAACAATCCTCCTGCCTCAGCCTCCCAAGTGCTGGCAATACAGGCGTGCACCGCCACGCCCGGTGTTGGGTCTTAAATCTGGTCATCTTGTTAATTCTCTGGCTAGTTTTAGTCCCATGTTTAAATCCTTTCAAAAGTCTCATACAGGGCTGGGCATTTAGCTAAGTGGTAAGCACTTGGCCTACTATGCAGGCCCTGGGTTTGCTCTCCAGTACTTCAAAAATGAGAGACTCTTTTTTTAAAAAGCAGAGTCTCCCACAATGTTACTATGCTGATATGTTGTTATATTACCAAATGCCCACACTAAAAAATAGCTTCACCTTGAGATTTATGCAGTTAAAAACTTCTGATTTGTACCTTGCCTAGAATTACTTTAAAGTAACAAAAACAAAGCTTTTTAAAGACCTTTCCTTTCTCTGATTTTCCCAGTGAATTATGAACTTTTTAGGGATGGAAAAGGAGTTGTTTACATTGTGGAAATGGAGAGAAAGGAGAGGATGCACAAGTAAAACACACTCCTGGGTACTGAGTATTTACTTTTCTAAAGCATACAGGCGGTTGGGAGAGGTAATATTATTTACTTTTTAAACTATTCCTTATTTCTTTTACTTAGTGCATTTATAGTAATTCCTTCTTACGTCTGAATACTACTTTCTTATTTCACCAGAGTTTCAACATAATTGCCATTTAATGCAATGAGTAGGTCTAAGAATACTGTTCACTGTATTGGCATTAAAAATGAAAGAAGAGTCAATTATCTTACAGTCAAGAAGTTAACAGGTAGTCTTAGAACTAACTACCTAACTCTTAACTAAAAATTTAAAGTAAGTGAGAAGAAAGCGGATGCTGTTTGAAGGAGCCGTCTCCTTCTGAAGTACATACATTTATGTCCTTCCCCAGAGCCTTCATCTGCAGCATAGGGCTCGGCTTTGAAATACATGTACTGCATTTCTCCCCTACTCTTGCCACTCTCGTCATATTCACTGTCAGTGCCCGAGTCTTCTTCTGCCGTATCCCACGTCTCCTTTTTCCCTTCATTTGCTTTAGTTCTTCTACTACTTGTGATGCTGTGAGACTCAAGTCCATTAGCCAAAGGGATGTGAGCATTATCTGCATTGCACAGAGTGTCACTGCTGTGACTAGAGCTAAGAATATCACTGTCCACTGAACTTGTACTCCTGTCATTATTCACATCTGAGTCTGATCGCTCTTCAGACTGAAAATTTTCTGGGTCAGAAGTCTGAATGTGCTGTTCAAGTTCTCTATTATCCACCGATGCTGAAGAGTCCCTCTCATTGAGAGGTGATTCAATGTTTTCAAAGTCACTTGTCTCTGTGCTTTTGCTGCTGTCCCCATTATCACCATCCTGCCGTTGCTGCAGTGACAAGCTTTTGAGTTTTTCAGTGCTTTCTTCTAGAATAGCTTCCACAGACTTTAGGTTCCCTTTCTCTCTTTCACAATCATCTTCCACATTACCAGAATCACCTCCTGCTTTCTGGTATGCCGTCCTTTTGGAATAAGATCCTGGGGATTGTTCAGGTAGCAAAACAAATAACCTGATTGTATTTGCATGTCGATCCAGGAGTTTCCATAAATGAGAATCTGTAAAGGCCATCTGGTAATCCAAAGTCTCAGAACTTTCAACAAACACCTAAATAGTAAGTCAAAGAGTTACTATGCAATATTGTCACTAACATCCTTGTTTGTCGTAAGAATAACACCACACTAATGCTGTGTAAGACAGTGCAGTTAGTTACAAAATTTGTGATGATAAAGTTTGCAAAGGAGACTGCATTATTTTAGAGATTAAATATTTACTTAGCTTATATGTCTTTGTAAATAGCCACAAAACTATACGTAAGAGTAGATGGGTGGACATGGCCAGACAGATGCACACATTTGACTGCAGGGACTGCCTATTTTCAGAAAGTTTTGTATTACACATGCTGCCTTTTAGGAAATCAAAGTTTAGGGTAAATACAGAGGAACATACAGAAAGACACCTTGGGATACAAAACACAAATCTAAATTACATAGAAAATTAATGGGCAGATGATCTAGTTTTGTAACAAACAAACAGCAATAGAGCAAACGAATACAACTACACAGAATTTATAGTTTAAAATAGATATGGGAAGTGAATTATTATAGGCTTTGTTTGGCTCCCGATTTAACAAATCATACTGGAATAGTTTTATAAGATAAAAAAAGAATTTGAACAATGATGTGAAATTGGTTATTGGAGCATTTTAAATGTTTTAGGTATAAAATGTAACTATAGTTAAATTTTTACAGTTCCCATCTTCACAAGATTTATATTCACATTATCTGCGTATACATGAAATACGATGCAGAGAAAGTTTTTAAATAACCTAGGGGGAAGTGGGTGATCAAATACAGATAAAACATGAGCTGATAGAAGATGGATGAACAGAAGCTCATTGCACTACTCTCTACTTCTGTAAGGTTGACATTTTCTATAAAATATTAAAAGAAATTAGGTGAATAAAAATTACATAGGATTAATAAAACAAGACTATAAAGGTTAAATGAGACAAAGACTAAACTGACTAAAATGAATGAAAACAAAAAAAGTGATAACAGGCATGTCTCATTCTGAGTTCTGTCTTATGGGAGCAGTTCAAGGATGAATAAAGTTCAGAAGACATAATCACTATGTCTCCCCATGAAGGCTTCACCAACAAAGCAGGGCTCATGAGGGCTCTAAATAAATGGAGTGGTGAATTAATGCTCCAAGTGGGGTACATATGAACAAAGTTAAAGAAGAGGAGGAACAACGATAAAGCAGAGGAAAAAGAAGCCTGATTTGGCCTGACTCCAAAGGAAGGCAATTACTGGGAGACTGGGTAATTTAAAAGGTCAGTTCCAGACAGACAGTGCAGTGCGCTAAGGGATAGGCTTCTAAAGTGGTTTTTAAGACATTCTGAGCTTGACTGCATTTATTATGAACACAGAAAATTACAATAAAAAAATAAGACATACCTTGTTACTTCTAAAAAAACCTTCAGCTTTCAGAGTTTTAGTGGGCATACCGAGGAGACGCAAATCATTATAGCAGCGTTCCAGCACTATTCTCATTGTTTCAGCAGGTAAATGGATGGCCTACAATGAAAGGAATTTAATTAAGAAAGTACTCTTTCAAAAGTAATTCTGCTTCTTTAGAAATATGGAGGAAACATAAAGACAGTGTCGCGAGCTTTTTAAAAGTATAGGAAGAAAATTAAGAGAATAATTTTAGTAGAGCTTTCAAAATTTTTAGAGAAACTAAAGCAAAAATTATCAGTAACATCAAGTTACACCCAACAACAGTAACATCCAAGCATCACTTGCACACATAAGCTCAGAAACTATTTTAAAAGTTAGAATTTTTCACTGAGGATTTTATATGTTTCAAAATTGCCTCTTATATGAAGTGTCATGATTCCAAAGGAACTGAGTATCTGACTCTTTGAGAGGAGACGCCAAACCAACATGGTTAAACTTGGATTATGATAAGCTCCGTTACAATCTATGAACAGTTGTTAATACTTTCAATTAAATTAATGAGATCAAATTTGTAGTAAGTTATTCTGAAATTCTATAGCTTTAATTCTTGGACTCATGAGTTTCATATAGAATCAACAGATAAAAATTATTTACATTTTAAAAAGCAATTCATTTTCAATACAACTAATAGTAGTAGTTATTAAGACTAAATTACTAGGCAGTCTCGTTATACATTAAAATACTGTATTTGTTGACACAATTTTTGGTAACTGCATTTATTCTCTAAACATATTTTTCCCCAGTAAGAGTGTTAGCTTCATTAGGGAAGGGGCTAACAAACATGTGTGCTTGTGTTTCTGATTTGTTATGGCTTGTGTCTAGATGTCCTTCCAAGGCCTCATGCAGTCATAGGTGGGGCTTTTTGGAGGTGGCTGGATCTAGGGTGTGTGCTACTGAGATCAAGGATGTGATGCTGGGATTGATTCATGATTCGATGCTAGGATTAAGGGTGTTGAATGCTACCTGCCCTAATGGTGGGTGGCCTGGATAAAATAATAAGGGACAGAAAGAGGGATGCTGTTGTCGCTGCTTGTTGCTTGTCCCTTGCTGCTTGCTACTTCACTGCTGGCTGCCTTCTGCCTACCCTGGTTTGCCATGGACTGTTTCTCCTCTGTGATGTCCCTCTCCCATGCCGCCCTACTTTGGAGACAGCCAATTATGGACTAACACCTCTACAAACTGTGAGCGATAATAAACCTTTTCTCCTAAACTACGGGTGTCAGGTATTTTGTTTCAGCCATGAGAAAAGTAACTAAGACATGTACTTATCTCAGTACTTATACTCCAGACAGAACTGAGGGTTTTTTTACCTTTTGGACTCATATTTTTTAAATGTACAGAGCAATCACATCAACATAGCATGAGCAATTTAATCATAAAATGACTTCACAACATGATTTGTTTCCTGGATATTACTTTGACAAAAGTAGAAGTGATAGTTGTTTTTAAAAGCATAGTAATAACCACAAACACTTGTATGTTACCTTACACCTTTTTCATACATCACTTATTTATTAATGTTCACAACAAACCTGTTTTGCAAGTGGTAAGACGCCCAGATGAGATAAATACAAGACCATCGTAAGGCCTAAGGCTGAGTATGGGATTCAACTTCTTGACTTAAAATTACTGAACAATTTTCACCACACCAAGGGTTCTTAATCTGAACTTCAGAAACTTTGCAAAGTTTTAGCTGTTTGTGTGGTTCAAGGTTCTATAAACTATATGACCTTGGAAAGGATAATAATCATTTGTCTGAAGTGGATTTGCCTCCTGGCCCAACGAAATGTGAATGTTTTTAACCATGCTTTTTCCAGCTCAAAATTTCAGAATGACCAGCCTTCTTTATCACTAAGTGATACAATATAGCCACTATTTAATTCATCACTTTGTTAGATCTGCTTCCCCACCTCACTTCTCTACTAATACCTCACTACGAATACTTTGGATAACTTTCTAGCCCATGCCTTCTCTCATTTCCACCCCTTATCTTCCTCTGAATTATTTTAACGGCTTCTCATCTACATTCCGGATTCTTTCTCAATCTACCTGGATCACTAGTCTAGTGCAGTGGTGGCAAACCTATGGCACACATGTTTTTCTTTTAAGACAAAAGATGTTAAAGTTTGAGTTGTTTTTTCTAAACTAAAACTTCAAGATTCAGGTGTAACTGCAGTGTTGGCACTTTGTGATAAACAAGTGGGTTTTAGGTTACAGTTTGGGCACTCAGTCTCTAAAAGGTTCACTATCACTGGTCTAATGTCACCAGACTTAAAAGCACAGGTCTGATCACACCACTGGTGTACTTGAAAATAAAAAAACCTACCTCTTACTTCCTGTGCCAAAGACAGCCCAAACTTTTGTTTACTATGTAGAGCCCTCCATGAAACAAACTGAATTTAGCTCTAGGCCTGTATTTCCCAATGATCCAGCCAACGTTTACAAGTCACTGCCATAGGCACTTGCTTCATGCTTTCTTACCTCCATATTTTGCTCTACCCGTTTCTTCTATTTGGAATGTCTTCTTTCTGATTATGTTGCATTCTAACCATAAACACTGCCTCCTTAGAGTATACATCTTGCTCGTAACTATACTACTTGGTAGATAGCAGCATTCAAAAATATTCACTGATCCATTTTAAAACTTACCTTTGAAATCAATTGTTTGAATTCTGTAACTGTTTGATTTAAGTAAGCACGAACGGTTATAGGAGCAGCTACAGTTTCTGCCTTTAGATCAACAACATGAACTTTCACCATCACTTCTGTCACATTTGAAGATATAAAAACATAATTGGAGGTTATCTTTTAAGACTATTTCACATTGTATTCTTAAAGTGCTTCTAAATAAAAGGCAAAGATAACATTTTCTAATGATCAACATAGTGTACATCATATATAATACATGTTAAGAGCTTACAACTGATCACAATATACATGCAACATTACATACAAACATGGCAATGAGGCCACTAAGTTCTCCTAGATTGGTTTTAAAATGTTAAATAGTAATTTTCATTATAAAGTATCATTTTGGATTCATGCACTATATATTACCTACAAAAGTTGAGGTGTGATTTTTAAAAATATATGCTTTGTTTTCTTTTAAAATATTAGATCAGCGCCAATTTTACCAAGTGCACTAAAAATGTAAATCCGAAGTTTCAAATACAGACTAAAACCACAACATTAAATACACAACTAGAGAATGTAAAACAAATGCTAACAGCAATACACAGAACCTCAACTGCTTTTAAACAGGCTTAATTAAACCATTCATGACCTCCTTCATAATCAAAGATTTCCTCTCCTCAAAATAATATTCTCTACATCCTATAGAAAATTCTACACGAAAAGTGGTCTGGTGTATGTTTGTCACTTAAATCTTTCATATTACAATTTAATCATGCTTTCTCTTCTGTTTTTAGGAGACGTTTATAACTACATTTGTACTCTCTTGAAAAATAAATGATCTTCAAGCATTGTATCTAATAAATACGTTGCTTTAACCTCCTGTGTATGTCAATCCTCAGTTTTTCCATGTTGTTGATGTACATGACAAAATATTCTAAGATCCTGGTAACTGATGAACAATGGGTAAGTCTTCCAATCTATAGATTCATTCAGAGTTTTTAGGAAAAAATTGGCTTTAACACTTACATATGTTACCTTTTAATCATTATATGTATTTTTTCTACCTAGTTCAAAAGTCCCTCAAAGGGACTCAATATAAAAAGCAGAGTCCAACTGAAGCAGGCACAACCTAGTTCTCACAAACTTTCCCACTCCCTGGAAGGAGGCAGGGACCCTGGAAGAGTATTACACATAATGTATTTTGGAAAGAGCAGCCTTCATAAAATAAGGAGATATACAGGATCCATAAAGGACCACAATTTGAAAGGGCATGATAAGGTTCAACTTTCAGGAATATAAAGTACAGAGAGTGTAAGACTGAATTCTGATTTATCATTGACACAAAGGAGTTAAGATCAAGATACAAGAGTAAGAATTTTTTTTTTTTTTAAGATAGGCTCTCATTATGTAGGCCAAGCTGGCCTTGAACTTGTGGAGACTCAAGTCCTAGGATTACAGGCATGTGCCACCATGCCTGGTCATAGCAGTTAAAAATTTAATTGTTTAAATATTTGAATTTTTCTTTTTTCTTTTTTATGGTTTACAGATAGTGGTAAATGGAAAATTCCAGATGAGAAAGTCCAAGTTGCGGGGCTGGGGATTTAGCTCAGCGGCAAAAGTGCCTGCCTGGCAAGCGCAAGGTCGTGAGTTTGGTTCCCGGTACCGGAGAAAAACCACAAAAAAAAAAAAAAAAAAAAAAGCAAGTCCAAGTTGCTTTTAGTTGCTCTGGAGAAACTAGGGGCATGGTACTTCACTTTTCAAGTCAGTCTCAATGGAAAAAAAAACTTCAAATGTACTGAATAAGTGTGACAGATAATAAAGAGTGAAAATAACCCCTGAGACCTGTAGAAGTAGAAAAGATAGTGAAAAATTAAAATGTTGGTAGTGATAGGCTTGACTCTGCTTTTGAGACTATGGAAATATACATTTTTTGGTTCAAGGGGGTGGAAGGAGAGGGGAAGAGACTGATTTATAGCATATAGGATCATTCAGTACCAACAATTCAGTACTACATACTAGAGAAGAAAAACCCCACTGAAGATTGTAAGTTAGAAGTTTTCTTCTTGCACTTTTCATTTAAAAAGTTAAAAATTTTAGATGTAGCTCTTTGCAAGTATTTAGAACTTAATTTCAAGCTAAATGTTGCTGGGTACTTCCCAACCTATCAAAATTATTCTACATTTTAAGAACATATAAAATATTTATATGCTCATTTCAAAAACTTTGTCATGAAAATTTTAAATCCAGTACAATTCAACCCATTATAAAATCACCTACCTCCTGGTTTATAAGACTGGAAAACTTGATCAGGCTTTCTTGTCTCTAACAGAAGATCAAACATGTACGTTGATTTGACCCCACCTAGAAGAAGTCCCATTGGGGTATCTTCTTCCCCTTCATATGATCGTTCTAGGTAATCATGAAACTCATCATATTTAACAAGACGACAGCAATCTAGAGGTATTACCTCTTCTAAATCCATCATCTAAAAGAAAAACAACCCAATAGCAAAAGAAAAAAAAATATATAGTGTTTTAGTCTGGTGTATAATATCCCTACCAATAGGTCCTAACAAACAGTAACACCTATGTATGTATGATTTACACCAAAGACATTGAAGTTAAAGACATGTTATTTTATTAAAATGTAAATGTTATTTTTAAATGATCATGTCTCATTATTCTTCAAATCATACAACCTAAGCATTAAACATATTTTAAAGATATTTTTACTTTAAAAAAGATATTCTAAACTTTAGATGGACTCAAAATTAAAACATGATAATCTACTGCTTTGTAATTACTAAGCTAGAAACATAAGGGAAAAATTAACCACAGAGAACATGTATCTTGTTTTTTAATGTAATTTGGAATAGAACTGGTAATTCATGTACATACTAATAGTTCACTGGTTACAGGAGGATCGTATATCTCTTATAGCCACTACAAAGACTATAGCTTCCATGCCTGCCAAAGATCGCCTCATTCTTCTATGAACATGTGTTTTTCTCTGGTATTTCTAATGCCTCACACAGAAGGCACTAGATAAATACCTGCGAAATGAGTAAGATGAACAAGTAAATATTTTGTTTCTGACTTTTCATTTTGGTATACAGAAAACCTAACTAGATTTCATAGTGAAGAAATTCTTAAAAAATGAGTATGCCCCCAAGGGAAGTAAGAGGTATGAATTTAATAGGCTTTCAAATTCATTGTAAGTGCTTATGTTACTACTAAATATAATAAAAACAGAAAATTATGACACTGCTAAATGAGCTATATCAATAATGAAATACCAACAATCCAATTGAACATACCTTATAAGCCATTTCTACTGCTTCCTTTAATGTCTTATCCTTATGAACTTCCAATTTATTTTCCATCATTACTTGTTTCACAGGATGCAAACAAAATAATTTTATCTAGAAAATGTAAAATATTATTACCAAGTCAGCAGACCAAAAGTCAAAGCTTAATTCTTTTGTAGATAGCTTTTTTCCTAATAGTCTAAATACTGTAATTTAAAAAAACAATTAGGATCATTCTATGTCTTTATTTCTCATTTAATGATAGTGCCTATGTTCATGTCTTAAAAAATTTAAAAACATTAATTTTAACAATGTTGTCTCTTTGTAAGCATATATCATAATTTATGTGGTCATTTCCCTCTTGATATCCATTCAAGCTGTTTGCAATTTTTCCCTAGTTTAGAAAATACTGTAGGAATGTTTGTGGTCAGGATTTTTGCAGTATCTGTGATAATTTCATTAGGTAATATTTGTGTAAGAGAAATTATATAAAAGAACGTGAATTTGCTTAAGGTTTTTGATAAGCATTACTGAATTTCTGTCCAGAAAGGCTTCAGTGATTTATTCTTTATTTTCTTGCACATTCTAGGCAAGCACCCTGACCACAAAGCTTCAGTTCTGAGCCTTTTTTATTTTGAGACAGGGTCTTGCTAAGTTGCCCGGCCTGGTCTCTAACTTAGGATTCTCCTGCTTTAGTCTCCCAAGGACCTGCGACTGCAGGTGTCCGCCATCATCCCTGGCTGATTTATTCTTCTTCAGGCAGATGTAAGAATGCCTTTCTCACTGCAGCTTCACCATCACTGAATATTGTTGCTCCATGTTACGAGGTATTTTACATCAAATCGAATCAAAATTTATCTTTGAAGTCTACTTAGTTATGCTAATTAATGGTCCTGATAGTGTAACTATCTACAGAATCAACTAAATAGTTATGAAAATCATAGTTAACTTAAACAACAATCTTAAATGGCACTTTTCAATTAAAAATATAATTATGCAATCTAACCTTGCATGTATTACGCTCAATTTCTCGTTGCCTCTTTTCTTGTTCTTCCAGTTCTCTCTCTCTCTGCACCAAGTTTTTAATATGTTCAGGGTATTCATCCACTTCTAGAAATTCTATTAATAATGAAAACAGGAGAAGACAGTGTCATTGAAATTGGGCCTCCTTTATTCATTCTGCGCTACTACTATGTTTCTATGGTATACCCTAGTACTACAGTGCTCATGGATAGGCAAAGGTGAAGAGATATTAATAACACCATGCTCACGTGTCATATTTTTAAAAGCCACATATTTATCCAAAATGTGTCCTGACTCCAGAACTCAAATACGTAGACTAAGATTTTAGAATTAAGAAGACCCCCTTTAAGCTTGAAACAAAAATCATTTTCAAATTTTGCCACCACCACTGAACTGTGTACATCACCTTGGACAAGTTTACTTCTCCATGCCTAGGCTTTTAGCTTCCTAATAGCATCTACCACATAAAGTTATTGCCTGGGATACAGAATAATGTAATAAACTCAACTGCTACTGTTACTTTTATAAATCCTACTTATTTGTTAGTATTCTCTAATAGAATTATCTTTTAGCTGCTTTCTAACCAAAGAAGGCCAGGTCACAAAACTGGTAACTTCAGCTATTAACATTTCTCTGTGCTGTCAAGATTCAGTTGAACACAAAAAGTGATGATCATTTCTGATGTTACTTTTAAACAATCAGCTAAAAGAAAATAGTTTATAAGAACATAATGTTAAGTGAAGTAACACACACACAGCTTAAATACCACAAGGTTTCTCTTATATGAAAAACTCAATATATCTGTATATAAGGTACAAAATGAAAGACAGATAATAGGAAAAAAAGGAAAGAACAAAAAAAGTATTGTAATCCAGTACAGACAATGTATCTAAAAAGTGTATCTGGATTTAGTGCACTTGTCTTATATGTTTTTAGTCTTTGGCCTACTGGTCTGGTTTGTATATATGATAATTATCTGTATATATGACAATTAACTTTGTAAGGTCTTATAAATAAATGAAAGTGTTACGGGAAAATTAAAAGGGGGGTGTAGAAGGAGAGGGAAAAAAGTTGGGAATTGAAATGTGTTATATACATGTATCAATTGCCTACAGTGAATGTAAATATGTACTGCAAACATGTACTAATAAAAGTGAAAGAAAATTACCAATACCTACATATGAATTATTTTAAGAAAGTTTTTCTTACATGTACACTAAAATGCAAGTAAAAATATAAGGCCATGACACTGTTTAATAAATTCAATTATTCTTTCACATTAAATGAGAACAAAGATAGCAACAGGATCATTTCTCTGAGGGAAGTAATAATTCACTGTTTCTGGAAATGAACTTGAATTTAAAAAATATTCCTTATCATGCCATACAGCGCCCTCTGGTGCTTCATCACAAAACTAGAGTTACGGAAATAAAGACTGAATTTTGCACTACTGGAAGGCTGGGCCACTCAGTGCACATAAATTACAATCCTGGCTCTGTCGACATATCAGCAGATAGTTTCTTTATGATACAGTAAGAATGATCACTTGTGTTCTTAAATCTCAGTTCGAAATGAATTCTTGTTATAATTTCCATCTATTTTTTTCAGTAAGTCTACAGTAAATTACTAAACGACTATGTGGCAGAGCCTAGAATTATAGCTTTGATGAAAAGATGAATAGGTTGGAAGCCTTGCAGCAACTGAATCCACACTGACAATTCACAAAAATATCAACAAAAATATAACCCTTAAAACAGATTTACTTTCCCAGTATTGGAAAAAAACAAACAAACAAAAAAAACCCAAACCAAACCAAACCAAAACAAAACAGATTTACTAATAGTATGGTAGCTTCTAAACAAAAGAAAAATAATGATTATTTAATTATGAAAGGAATGAGCAAATAAATATACCATCTGTGTATGGGTCTACTGTACATGTATACAGATACGCATACGTCTGTTTATACTACTTTGAATCAGTCAGAATTAGCAAAAACAAGAACTGTCATTTTTTGAAGCAATAATTATCCTCCCTCAAAAAAAGGAAAAAGAAAAGAAAAAAGACAAGCAAACATGCATTTTATGCTCAGGATTATTTCTGGGATTCTTAATAAAATTATAAAACATAATTAAGGATTTGTACTTGATTCATAAAAATGTCCCTGCTTCTTAAATACACAGAAATACTTTACTCCCTAAAAATACTTGTAGAGTATTTCAGGTCTTCTGGGGTCCCCACTCAGGGTATTTAGATACTGATATAACCAAAAAGCTTGAAAATGAAAAAGTAAAAGCTAAACTGGAGATAGTCTACTAAATGCTTAAAATATTATCTCATTTTTAAAAATAACCCTATAAAACACGATTACTATTCCTATTTTACAGATGTGGAAAGAAAAATTAAATAACTTGATCTAGGACACACAGCTGTTATAGCCACATAGGTCTAAGTTTATCACTGCAGAAAACTTCACATAGTACCATTTTACTACAAATAAATATATTCAGTTTATTTAAAGACTTTCCACTTGTTTCTTTGTGTATTAAAAAAAATTTTGACAATATTTTTCAAGTATTTTTAGTGCTATTATTTTATAGCAGTCTTTATAATGAATTCTTCCACACATTCAAAAATCCAAATTAGTTTATCATTTAATTTTTTTTCTCTTTTCAGGTATCGGGAATCAACCTCAGGATCTTGCACTTCCCAGGCAGGTGCTTGTGCCACTAAGCTATACCCCTGGCATAGTCTATCATTTAAAAGTAGTTATCTGGGTTTGCCACATTTCCAAAAGAAATTAATTTACAAAAGAAATTAAAATCAATGAACTGTAAATTAACATACTTGCATTTCTTGTTGGATCCTTCAGCCTATATATCAGCATATATGCATTTGTTGAGCTAGTAGAAATATAAAAAGGTTAATAGAGACAAAAACTAGATTCCATTTCCAAGTATCAAATATGTATTTAAAACTATGAGGTTTATTCCTTCAAACAACCAGAAAGTCATGCCACTGTTCAGACACACATTACAATTTAGAACACTCCAGAAAGAAATGAAAATCTTTGTTTTTGATGACCCACTTAGGAAACAATTCCTTATATCCACTTGGTAACAAAATAGTTTTCAACAAAACTGTGTACCACAATTACAGTAACAGTTAAGTCAGGAGTCAGCAAACTTTTTTCCGAAAGGGAGCAGACAGAAAAAAAAAATCTTAGGCTTTGCAGACCAGAGGGTTCGTGTTGCAACTACTCCATCTATGTTGTTAAGAGCATTAACATAAACTATAAAAACAAGTAACTATGAAAGTGTTCCAATAAAACTTTATTTACTAGAATGTGCAGATGGACTGGATTTGGCCTATGGGGCAGTATGATGATTGTTAAATCTTTGGTGATAAAAAACACAGAGACTATAATTCATTCTAACTTATAAACACTAAAAATTAGGAAATTAACTTACCTTGCAAAAGCACTGGAATAATATCCTCTGCTTCCTGAGGATCCACCATGTGTTTTCTTAATGTCTTCTTGTGTTATCTAAAAAGTTGTTAATTTTTTTGTAAAATCTGTGACACTATTACATTAACATCAACATGTAATCTAACCTGTTAACTTTAGAGTTAAATGCTATGTAAGGTCTTTAAGATAGATTATACACTGAATCACAAAATTTAATCACAGTCAGTGGCTACCTCCCAGACAGTCAATTCTAACGTTCCTGAGCTCACAGGAAGCACAGGTGATTTAGAAACAGTCCTACTAGTGTCTTTCCAAGTAATCATTTAAACGACACCTCCTTACCCTGCTGACGTGCTGATCATTGAAGCTGTACCACTGCTCATCGCTGAAAGACTTTATGCAAGCATAATAATGACCACCAGCAGCGCTTCCCGAATGAACCATGACAGAGAAGAGTTCATACATCAAGGAATTCTAAGGGAAAAAAATGAAAGTAATTCAGGAATCTATACAATTCTTATTTGCCTACTTCCTATTCTCTATTAACAGATATGATAAAATTAAAATGACAAGTCACCAAAAAAAAAGAAATCAAGTTTCTTCCAGTCTATTCTTTCATATTTTTATTATGGTATACCCTTTTTTAGAAATATATGTATCTCTAAACTTACTTAAATAATATATAAAATGTTACAAGCAGGGGCCAAATACGAGGCTGTTAGAATATGCATGGTCAAGGTCAAGAAATTCCACATTTAAAAAAAATGTATTTTGTGTATTTCCTATACAAAAAAGCCAAACAACATAATTGCTTAGAACATCTTCTAATGTATTTGTGCAATATCTGTGATACAGTAACCTGTCAATTTGCTATTTCATTTATATTAAGAATGAATACTGAAATATATAATAAATTAATATGTCAGCAATACACTGGAACAAAAGACTATTTTAAGCAAAGCAAGTATTTCTGGAAAAAATAGGAATGAAGAGATTTATTTTAAAAAGAGGTGATTTACAAGAGACTTGTTTTTATATTTAGTCTGGAAGCCTAGGTACTTCACAGCTCCTAGGAGTCTGAGATACTAGAGACCTTGCAGACCAGTAATTCTGTCATAGAGGGGACAGAGGAAAATAAAAGAGTAAGAAAGTTAAAAAAGAATTGACCTAAAAAGCTCCCCTAGTTGGTGACAAGCAAGACTATTTCAGTCATTTTTCTACAAGAACAGAGTTTCTCTTCTTTATTCCCAACTCCCCATGCTGGAGATCAAACCCAGAAACACGCGTGTGCATGCACACACATACACATACGCATGCACGCACACGCCCTCTACCATTAGGCAGTTTCCACTCCTCTTGCTCCCCCCCCCCCCCTAAGATCAGCCAGCCCTCTGTGCTTTCGTTCTTGCTTCAAAGCATTTGAGCTTTCAAGTCTCACGGTACTTCAGTTTATTTTAAATTGAAAATTATAATCAAATGGTGAAATTTCTAGTACAAATTCTGAAAAATTCCTCATGATGTTCACTTCATCCCTAAAACTAAAAGTAAATAGTGATAGGAGGTTTTAGAATCACCTGCAATCCTTTAAAGCACTGAACAACTCATGAAGCATGGAACCCCACAATATTAAAATGTTTTGGGGCTGGGGATTTAGCTCAGCGGCAAAAGTGCCTGCCTGGCATGCGCAAGGTTGTGAGTTCGGTTCCCAGTACCGGAGAAAAACCAAAAAAAAAAAAAATTTAAAATGTTTTGAGTATAGTAAATATAGTAAATGTTTTGAGTATAGTAAATATAGTTTCACAATTAGCAAAGCCAGAAAAAAAGTATTTCTCCGGAAAATTCTTAAGATAGCAACTTCTAGATAACAAAAGTGGTAGATTCACAGGATTGAATCACCTTCTAAATTATAACTATGTATGTCGTAAGTAAAAGATAATATTCTACACAAAAGAGTAAGGGCTATCAGATGCAACAATTTTAGTTTCAAATAATAAAGTAATTGCTAAGAGGTAGAAAGAAATGTAGTGGTAACTTCATCCAAATTTACAAGGGATAATTTATTAATATAATTACATAAAAACATTCTACCTGGGTACAGTGCCACATGCCCGTAATCCTAGCTATGTAGGAAGCCGTGACAGATAGATTCCAAGTTCAAGATCAGCCCTAGCAAGATCCAGTCTCAAAATAAAAGAAAAAATTGCTGGGCATATAACTTAGTGGTAGAGTGACTCTGAGTTCAATCCCCAGTACTGCAAACAAGCAAAATTCCACCATACAGTACTCTTACGATTTTCTTCTATTTTAATATGGCTAAGAAAGTAATATATTACTCTTAAATGAAAGGGGTATAAATCTTCAAACACAGTAGTAGCAAACAACTACAAATTTCTAGATCTGAGTAGAACAGAAAGAATGTAGCTCAAATTCCTCCAAAAGGTAGTAAATGACAGGCACATAAATTAAATGACCTGCCCAAAGTGATACAGTTTTTTAATGATAAAGTCAGAATTAAAATAAATTATTTTACCCTTACTCACAAGAATAAAAATGAAAACACTGGGCTTTGTGGACGATGTAATTTCTGTCACAATTACTCAACTCTGTCACAGCACTAAACCAGCCACAGACAACAGGTAAAAAACAAAGAGCATGGTGGGTTCCACCAACAACAGACCTGGCAGCTCAGAACAGCAAATGAGATGAATACTACTCTTCCCTCTCCAAAAAAAGTCTGTGACACACACACAAAAAAAACTCCAACAATTACATTTAGGCATATCTTACCCAAATTGCACAAAAACAGAAAAATATTCAAGAGATCTAGAAGAGAATAATTTCTACGGAATAACGAAGTTTTCATTATGGAGTGCAGTGATATATTTAAAATGTTGAAAGAAAAGTTACAGGTGACCTAGAGTTCTATATTTAGTGAAATAATTCTTCAAAAGTGATGGAAAGAAATCAATTGTAAAAGGAAAACTGGAAAGCTCATAAATATGGAAATAAAACAACATATGCAAATAGTAGGTCAAAGAAAACACAAGAGTAATTAGAAACTATCTTGACATAAATGGAAACATCAAATGTAGTTTACAGGAGAATTAAAATAGAAGTTCATACCAGTAAAAAGCTACATTAAAAAAGAAAAAGGATTTCATATAAAAAACCTAATTTTATACCTCAGAGAACTAGAAAAATAACAAACCAAACTAAAAGTTAGCAATAGAAAGGATCCAATAAATACTAGAGCAGGAATAAATTAAATAGCAAATAAATCAATAAAACTAAGAGCTGCTGTCTTGAAATGATCCACAAAAATTAACAACCCCTTACCAAGAGTAAGAAAAAGAGTGTGTGTGTGTGAAAGATAGTGTGTGTGTGTGTGTGTGTGTGTGCGCGCGCGCGCGTATGGCTAAGTAAAAGAAATGAAAGCAGATATTGCTACTGATACTATATAAACAAAAAGAATTTAAGTGACTATCATGAACAACTATACACCAAAAAGTGGATAGCTCAGAAGAGGTGGATAAATTTCTCACACATACAATTTATTCAGACTGATTCCTGAAGAAATAAAAAAATCTGAATGATCTATAACTAGTAAAGAGACAATTAATAATCAAAAACCTCCCAACAAAGAAAAGCTCAGGATCGAATTCTACCAAATATTTACAGAAGAATTAGCACTAATTCCTCTCCAAATCTCTGAAAAACTGAAGAGAAGGAAATACTACCCAATTCATTTTCTAAGGCCATTTACTTTGATGCCAAATTAGATAAAGACACTACAAGTAAACTAACTGCAGGTAAGTACCATTAGACAAATATTGGTGCCAAAAAACCTAAACAAAATAACGCCAAACTGAATTCAACAATACAGTAGGAAGGTTATACATAAAAACCATGTGGAATTTATTTCTGGAGTGCAAGCATGATTAAAATATCAGTCAGTGCGATATACCACATTAACAGAACGAAGAAACAAAACCCACGATTGTCTCAACTGATACAGAAATAGCATCTGACAAAATGCAGCCTCCGACAAAATGCAGCATCGTCTCACAATAAAAACTTAGCGAACTAGGAAAAGGAAACTTTTTCAACCCATGAAAAGTCAACAGCCAGCACCATACACAATGGTAAAAAATCATGAAAGCTTTTTAAGCCTAAAAATAAGGCAAGGTTGTCCACTCTTAACCACTTCTATTCATAGCCAGAGCAGTGAGGCAAGAAATTAAAGGCATCCAAGTTGGTACCAAACAAGTGAAATTATTTCCATTCACAGATGACAAGTACTTCTAGGTAGAAAATCCCAAAGGTTAAGCAAACCAGAACAACAACCCACTGTTAGAAAGAATAAACAAATTTAGCACTGGGATCAGCTGATTTCACTGGTAAATTCTATCAAACATTTTTTCTTCCTTTTTTTATTAGTACATATTTACACTACATGATCACATTCCTAATGGGGAGTTGGTACCTGTACATAACACATCTTAATTCTTTTTATATCCCCTTCCCTTCCCCTCCTTCTGAATCTTGAATGTAGAAATAGTTTCACTTACCCAAAAATAGAAGCAGAAAGAGCACTCTTGCTATCGTTTATACCCAGGTGTGCTACCAAAGCCTCATTTGCACTCATAGGCAAGGCTTATGAAAGGTGATCAGACTATGGGGCATCACAGCTGGCTAGCTGTTAAAGGTGCGGTCTGGCTGGAAGAGGTGGGTCACTGCATACATGACCTGGAAGGGTGCATCCCCCTCCCAACTCCTCCCTTAGCTCTCCCTGCCTCCTGTCTTCCATGGCATGAGCAGCTTTTCTCTGCCCAGGCCCTTCCACCATGCTGCCTACCATGCAAGGACTGAAACTTTGAAATGTGAGCCAAAATAAACCTCTCCTCATTTCAGTTGTGAGTGTCAGGTATTGTCTCAACAACAAGAAAGTAAGACAACTTCCTAACTCATCATATGGGTACAGGATTACCAAAACCAAATAATATGATACAAGAATGAAAAACTACAGACCAATACTTCTCAAGTGTAGTGATCCAAAGATACTGTGCAAAATACTAACTAATCAAATTCAACTCCTGAACAAAGCAGAATACATTAATGTGAAAGAAATGTTTGGGTACAACCTTAAAATCACTGATACAGGAATAAAGAAAATCCCATCCAGAAATTATCCAGTTCTATAGTTTTCAAATTACAATCCATGAAACTATTTCACTTTTCAAAGGTGCCTAAAAATGCTATGGGAGCAAAGACTGAGGGCTTTGGCTTTCCTCTATCTCAAAAAGATCAGCTATGTTGCTGCTTCAAAAGTGCTCCTTGGGCAGAATTTTTAAAGTCAAGAACTAGTATTTTCATTTTTCCATATAGGAAAATTAGGATGAAATATAAGATTTAGAGACTTGCTGCAATGTTAAAGGCAGAGTTGATACTAGACACTTGGTTTCCTGACTAGGAGGCACCCTTTGTATAAAACCATGTAGTTTGCACCAATGTTACAGTTCAGTCCTCCAGAAATTAATGTAAGTAGTTTTTTTCTAAAGTTTAATTATCATCACATATGTGCATATACCTATAAATAAGCAGTATCTTCAAGAAGTCTTAATTTTCAAAGATGAACCTTCTTGCTAAGACATATTTATCAGTCACAACACTTACAAGAGTATGCAGAAGCTCAGAGATTAGATTCTCTTTCAATTAAAAACATGAGGAAGCCAGGCCTGGTGCTGCACATCTGTAATCCCAGCACTCTGGGTCACTGAGGCAGGAAGATCACAAGCTTGAGCCCAGTCTGGACAATTTAGCGACTTAGCAAGACCCTGCCTCAAAATAAAAAATAAACAAAGGACTGGGCAATGGTACAGTATGAAGGCCTGAGGATCTCTGCCCCCAACCAAAACCAAAACAGAACACAGGGTGGGCAGTGTTGCTTAGCAGTAAAGCGCTTGTTTAACACGTGTGAAGCCCTGGGTTCAATCCCCAGCACTGAAAGCAAAAACAAAGGGCAGAAGGTATAAGTACCTTTTCAAGTCCAGGTTTTAAAATCTTTTCGGTTCCACTGTTGTTCTCAAGGCAGATTCCTTCATCAACCCCATCATCATTGGAGAAGTCATTGCTCATCTGGTCACTGTGACAGCTACCTTCATTTTCTGCTCCACTGTCAGTGCAACTTTCAGTCTGAGGAGATTTCTTAATTAAACATAATTATCTTAAGTCATAAGCCAAACAGAGGAAAAATATACTCACCCACACTTTTACCTATATACGCTAACACTTTCACACAATTTAACATATTCTTATTAATAAAATAATTTTAAGTAAATTTATTTTCTCGTACAGTCAGATCTGAAGTGAAGTTAAACAAGCAAAAAAGTATTTTAATAGCATTTTTATTATGTCTTTAGAATTTTAATACAACGAATTAGTGATTCACAATTCATTAAGCTCCATTTATTTTTACTGTTACAAATAATAATATAAAATTACCGCTTCTTTCAGCAAATCTGTAAGAGAACCTAGACTCTAAAATGCTTTCCTTTTGTTCTCAAGTCCCAATAGAATAACTATCTCTTTTCTTGAACACAAAGAATAATTCAGTTGATCACTGCTCTATGTACAGATAATTAGGAAAAAACGACACTGTATCCTCAAGAAAACGACACTGTATCCTTAGCATCTTGGAGGTAGAAATGTAACTTTTCCATGCTTTTCAGTTTTAAAATCACATTCCACAAATTTAATTTTTAAAAATTTTCCCACAAATTTAATTTGAAGAACTCTACTTCTTAGAAATCCCCAAACAACTTTCTCCTGCTTCCCTTCCACTTTTACAGGCATACCTAAAGATGTTTTTATGTAAACAGTTGAGAATTCTCTAAGATTCAGGTTCTTGATGTGCCTAAGGCACTGCACAGAAGCTCTTGAATTAACTAAACAATATATAGCAAGCATGAACATTTTCTGGTCAAAACTCTCTTGCAGGTATTGTATCCTCAAGAAACTCTGATTCAAGGAAAAGTAAGAGGTGAAAATCAACCTTAGAAGTCTAAGTTGAAAGAGATCATGCCTCATGTTTCTTCAACTAAGTCAAAATATCCTTCCCTCAAGTACTAGATCTAGAACAGTTGTGGTAAACATATGGCACATGTGCTACAGTGGGCTGTCTGTTATCACTGGAAGCTCTAAAAGGTTTGCCATCACTGACCTAGAACCTGTGAAACACTAGGTTTCCTCCCTGTTACAAAAATACATTAAACATACACAGAAGACTGATCTAACTCTCATTTATAATGGAGTAGAAATTGTACAAAGATTTATCTCCTTTGAAAGTGGCACACTTTGGATATACTTCCTTACTTAAATGTCTGAGATAACACTTTAAACCTTTTAAAATTTTATCTGCTCATAGATTCAACAGGTATCTACTTCATCGAAGATACCTTTTTACAATAAAAAAACCCAGTAATTATTTTTACTTTACAGATAAGGACAATGAACCTGAGAAAGCTTACACAAATTGTCCAAGTTCAAGAAGATAGCAAATATCAAGACAAGGATCTGAACCAACATCTAGCTAGGGTCCAAACATTACCTCACACTGCCTTTTTATTTAACAGTATTAAATACAATTTGATGAATTTTAAGATTATTTTTAACCTCCTGGGAAAAGGCTGTTTTTATAACTGTAGTAATCAGTTTTAATCACAAAAAACTGGTAATTTTTAGAAGAGTATCACTCTGTAGTAACTACGATAAATGATAGTAAATATTTTATACAATAGAATCAGAAAAGTCTCTCAAACAATAGAGTACAATATCATAAATCTGTCACTGAATAAGGCTAGAGGAACCAGAGAGTCCAGGGAGGTCAATAAGCTGGAAGAAACTGATGTGCACGTCTGGTGTATGTCAAAAATCTCAAGCTCAAACTATTTAAAGAATGTTTCAAATTAAAAAAAAACTAATTATAAAAGGAAAATAGACACAATATCTTGTGTTTTCCATATTTCTAACTTAGACAAGAGCTAACCAACCTTAATGGGAATAACTCATATACTTTAATTCACAAAAAGATTCTAAAACAAATACTGGAAATTAAGTCCACCCTACTGTTTGTTCATTCACTCATTCACGTGTATTTATTCTATGTTGAGTATGTACCAGAAACACAGGCACAGCTTACCAGTACACTAGTTCCAAAAACTAAGAAATTATGAAAATCTTTCCAAAATGTATCTAAGATATAAGGTCAAATAAGAATATCTGAGATATAATTTATGGTCAGGAAAAACTTATACAAAGGCAAGTTTTGTTTTTGTTTTTAATAGAGCTCACTATTAGAAAAAAACTTTCATCAAAAATGCCAAGGTAAACAGCATCTGTCTAAATTTATTTCAAACAGCTCCTGTAGAAACATGCAAACTAAAGTGGATTATAATTTCATAATAAAAAATATAATAGATATTTACCTCATCTTCAACATCAATAAATATACTCATATCTAGCTCCTCTGGAAACGTCATTCGATCATTCAGTTTAATCCTATGCATGGTTGTATAATCAAAATCAAACCTTTTCAACTGTAAGGTCAGCAGATAAGGAAAATGCAAAAACCGGAGGCCCTAAAGAGAAATAAAGGAGGGAAAACTATTGAATAGTGAATATTATCTCAGGTAATTAAGTGTTTAATTCTATATGACACTCACCTTTCTAGCATCACACTTCTTTTTACAACGTTCACAAAAGTACTGATTTGGGCCATCCAAGATCTCTGGCTGAATAAATGCATGTAGTGCTTCTTCCTAATTAGAAAAAAAATTGTTTTGTAATTACTTAAAATAACTGTTAATGACAATTATTTTGTCATATAAATAACAATGTCGTGTTAATGACAACGCCCTACATGTAAAAACAATGCAATTACCAAAACAGTTTTAAGTAGAATGGTTGGAAAATTAGGACTTAAAATACAACAAACAAAAATGACCAACAGCAAAGTATGAAAACGGAATTTAAAAAATTACTTCATTTTAATTAATTTTATCCTCCATAGTATTGTACATTAGTATTTCACTTTTTCCTAGTTTTTATTGGCCTTACATTGTGGTGTTTAAGCTAAAAGCAAGGATCCTGGTCTTCACATTAAAAAGTTATTCCATACTTTGTAGAAATGTAATTATGTGTATTACTTAATCTTCTTGTAGAAGGCAATTTTGTACTGTACAATAATACATAACTGTATTTTACTGTGAACAATTTACACTACCCATATGCTTGTAACCATATAAAGTCATCCTTATATCACTATAGTCAGGGTGAGTCAGCAATCCAGCACTACGTTAGTTACAAAGACAGAAAACCATTGTGCAACCTTCTCACTGCATGTGAGATACTGCTTTATGGGAAAAGGTTAACCTAAGTACAGCCATGTGATTTTCTCTTCTCTGTTCAGCCTTCAAATAGAAGCAAGAAACTCAATATAAATATTTGCAGAATTGGTGAATATAAAATTAATTTTTGATAACTACCAATTCACAACTGAAAAAACTAGTACACCATGTTAAGATTGGATGCATAATCTCAAATTTCATTCAATTTTCTCTTTTTTCCACACACAGTCCAAGCAGAACTACTAATGAAATTTATCACATATGAAGAAAAGGAAATTGAATCATTAACACAAAGTATCTTCAAATATTTTTTCTGTTGATAAAGAACACACTGTTCCTCAAAAGATAAATAAAGAACTTGATCTGGCAAAATGGACTTTGTTGCAAAATAATTGGCAAGGCTTATAAAACTATTCTCCACACACTGTTTGACAGAGTTCACTTTGGAACAAGATAAAAATATGAAAAGATACCCAATGGCTTTTAAACGTGTCTCATCTCTTTTTTTTTTTCCTCTCATACCACAAGGAAGCAATGGTGGTGGGGAGCAAATAGCAGGGCTTTTCCATATGACTATGCATTTTACTGATGGTTACAAGAAAGGAGACACTTAGGAAATAATTCCGCTTCCTCTTTAAAGCACATTTTAAGAATGAAAAAAAGGGCAAATTCTACAAAAACGTAACAGAGAAAAACTTTGAAAGAAATCACACTTACAGCTTAACAAAGGCTGAAAGCAAATCTTCCAGGCTTTTAGAAAAGAAGTAATTTCAACTCATGAAACACTTAAGTGTCCTAGAAATGGGGAATGGGGTAAAAAATTATATAACTCAAATGCTATTTTACTAAACTGAGGTATATATGGGTTTCTGGCTTATATTTCATGACTATATCTTTGCAAAAAGCTTGAAGAACTCTTGACATTTAACTCAAATGCATCAACTTCTAAACATTCTGATGATACCTCTGCATCATTCTCTCCACGCCAACACTATCGTGGTTTTTTGTTCTGAGTCATTTGAGAGTAAGTCCACACACCAGGTTTACCTCTTAGTACTTTGGTGTGACTTACATAAATAGTAGTTCCAAACTGAGGGAAATTTCATATCAAATTGTGCTTCTGTCACTCCGTATTTCAATCCTGTCAATTACCCTAATATTTATGCCCTTTGTAGCATTTCGCTCCATCCAGTGCAGAATCTAACCCAGGGTCACAGACTGCCATTGGGTTGCATATGTCCTAAGAGTTCTTTACTCTCCAACAGTTGCAAAGCCTTTCTTCCTTCCACAACACTGACACCTTCTGAAGAACAGAGACCAGTTATTTTATAGTCTTCTGAACTTTGGGTTTGCCTGACGCTTTTCAATTTCACATTCATTTTGCACAGTCCTTGCTTGATTACTACTGTTAGTGATGATGTGCCCGAGAGTATCAGACCATTAGGTCCCTTAACTTCTTAGGTAATGTGAACTTTAGTCACTTGGTTAAGGTGCCGTCCACTTTCTCCATCATAAAGTTCTTATTTTTCCTCTTGTGGCTAACACGCAATCTGTAAGGAGATAGTGGAGGTCATGCGATAATCTTGAAAAAGCCTTATCAAATGTGCCACCCTGGACTTTAGCATCCATTAACAGATTCTTGCCTACATCAAATTTTAATAGATGTTTGTTTTTCTGATCCAACTTGGAAATCTCTTTCAACAACTTAGGCCCATTCATATTTTATGACTAGTATATTTAGTTCCATATCAGCCACTATTGTACATTTACCATATGTTCTTTACATGATTTTTTTTTACGTTTTCTTTGTTAGCAAGGTTAATAATTTTGTTGTAGTAGTTAACTTCTCATATTTATATTTTTCTTAATGCTCTTAATTCCTTATTCCCTCCTTTTAATCTGAGGCTTTGAGTCTGATCTGCCAGTTTGTTTCCTATACACATAAGTCTGTGATCTTATTCTGCTTTCACTTTCTTTTCTTCTGCTCCTTTCTAAAGGTGTTAGTTTTTGTACTTTGCCTAACTACATATGATATTTCACACTATTAATCTACCCATGTCTCCACACAAAAAAACAAGTCTAATTTTACAAGCATTTAAGGTAGTAACAGTTTTTGTGATGCTTCCATGGCAATCTCTTAGTTGGATTAAGCTCTCTAACTTCATGAGCTCTTAATAAACTCAAAAGCTCAGGTTCGAATGTGTTGTTTTATTGCTGCCATAACTGAAAAAAAACCAACTGGTTGGATAGCAAGTCCTTAGCTTGTAGTTTCATTCCTTGTGAAACTGCTAATGTTACCAAGATTTACTCTTCAGAAGTATGATGAGAGTCCAATTTGCCTTTTTTTTTTTTCCTTTAATAACTCAGTGAAATTTACATTTCACACAACAATGTTCTAGGTCAGTTCTTCCAGGTACATGAGAAATTCTTCAAGAGGTACATTCTTCAAGAGCGGGTAACATTTCTGTTATCCCCAGAAAGGTTTCTGGATTAGAATTTAACCATTATTTCTGTCCCATGTTTTTCCTTCCACCAAACTCCAATTACACCAGAGCTCCTTTGCTGGTCTTCTCATTTTTTCTCAGATTCTTTTTACTTCTTTATCTCATTTTCATTTGATATCCCTCAGATTTTCATTCCTTCTACTCTTTCTCAAGAATTCTGCAATTTGTTCATTTGTAAGACAGGTTTGTCTTTTCTCTAGCTTCCTTCTTGAATCTGACAAGCATTCATTGCATTTTCTCCTGTTTATTTTTGACACTAGTGTATGCTTGCAGTACAAAATGATTACATTCATAACCGAGTTGACACATGTACATATCCATCCTTCATCTAAAGTTTTGGATACCAGCTTTTGTTTTACAAGTCTGAAAACTGCTATGGTTTGTTCCCTCCAAAACTCATACTGATGTTCAATCCTCATTATTAGGAAATTAACTGCCTAACAGACAGTGTCTTTAGAAGGTGATCAGGCTCAGACAGAGTTATAAGGGTGAAGCCCCCATGACCATATACTGATGGCTTTATGAGAGAGACCAGACATGCAGGTTTCCTGTCCCTTGCCATGTGATGTCCTTGTACCATCTCAGAACTCTGCTAGCAAGAAGGCCATCATGTTTGCTATAAAACCCTTTCCCTACAGCTAGTCCTACAAACCACAAAGTCCCAGTCCTCAGTCTAAGAGTGATTCTGTACCTATCTTGTTTAAATTCTTCAGTTCCCTCTCCTCTTTATTTAATAGTCTCTTAAACATCCCACTCTATACTCTCCACATATACACAGCTGCAGCAGCAGTGGAAGCTCTCTTGGAATTAGATATATACTTAGCTACTTTTTAATAGGTAATCTGAAGTTCAGGGTATTCTGTCTCTTAGTAATGTGAAAGGTCTGGGTTGAATGGATGTCATTTATCTTCCTTTACTGTATCATTTTTCAGGAGATGTGTACAGATAATCATATTTAGACAGTTGCCATTATCCTTCAGACCCAGAAACCAGTTAAAACTGCATTAATGTACTCTATTTTTAGCTTTTAATGAGCTGTGAACAAGATAAATAAGATCAGCCAATTAGAAAAATTAGCTTTAATTTATCCAACAAATAAATTATATAAATGAACTAATGTGGTTATATATACTGATCTGTACTTAATGGGATGTACCTAATTAAAAATCATGCCAAACTACATTTCCAGTATCAAAAAAGTAGGTCATGAATCATATAAATGGAACAAAATACTATAAATACTGTACTGTTAGTAATGTATACAAACAAAAACAGAACTGCTCACCAAAAACTGTCCTCTATGGTGTGCTAAATTATTCATAAATCACGCTTCCAAAACTACTTTTGGGTTGACTATGATTTCTGTTATCATTCCAAAGTGAAAATAACTGTTTCCTAGAGCTTATTCCCTCCCTTTGCACATCTTTTAGCCTGTACCTTCCAGGGTTCAAGACAGAACATAGAGAATTATTTTTACTATTAATCTGTATTTTCTGTACATTAACTCACTCAATGTTTAGCAATATAATATCTTCTAAATTGATACATTCAACTATCAGGACATGCATTTTTTTTTTAACTAAGAAGAGAACTATAGATATTTTCCTCAAAGCCATCCACTCTTCAATTTTGAGATAACTTTAAATTCAAATATACCCCATTACTTAGAGATCTTAGGTACATTTTGCTCAGTCTCCTAAAGTAACATTTTGCAAGCTCTAGTACAATGTCACAGCCATGACATAGATATGATCCACCTATCTTACTCAGATCTTCCCAGTTTCAGTTACTCACTTGTCCATGTATGTATGTGTATTAAGTGCTATACAAATTTATCACTTTTTGGGTCATGTATCCACCACTACAGTACAGAGATTAAACAGTTCTTATACAAGGATACCTCATACT